CATCACATGCAATGGTCATACAGTAGCGGAGAATGTGCGGGGGAAACACACCTGGGACCGTCGGACGATCCGGGCTTATGACGAACCGATTCTTCAAGATGCCGGGTTTCTCCACCTGCAGGGTACGCTGTTCGAGTCGGCCATCATGAAGACCTGTGTGATATCGGATCAATTCAGGAAGAGCTTTTTGGAGAACCCCGCCGACCCCAATGCTTTCGAGGGGGCGGTGGTGGTATTCGACGGACCCGAAGACTACCATCATCGGCTGGAAGACCCTGCAACCCCCATAACCGACAAGAGTATTTTGGTGATGCGCGGGGCTGGACCGCTCGGTTACCCCGGTGCAGCAGAGGTGGTCAACATGCATCCTCCGGGGAACCTTTTGCGACAAGGAGTCAAATCGCTCCCTTGCATTGGCGATGGGCGACAATCGGGTACCTCCGGATCTCCGTCGATTCTGAATGCGAGCCCCGAGGCAGCTGCAGGGGGGAATCTGGCCATCCTGAAGGATGGCGATCGGCTGCGTGTCGACCTCAACAAACGCCGGGTAGACATTCTCGTTTCAACGGAGGAACTGCAAAGACGTCGGGACGAACTCGAGGCCAACGGAGGTTACGGGGTACCGGAAAGTCAGACTCCATGGCAAGAGTTATTCCGCAAAGAGACGGGGCAGCTGAACGAAGGGATGGTTCTTCGCGGAGCAGTCAAGTTTCAACGGTTGGCCCAGCGCTATGGGGCACCGAGACATAACCATTGATGAAATGACGCCACAACTGAAGAAAGCGAAATAATTAATCTCGCAAGATAATGATTCTTGGTCCATTCCTGCTTGTATGGAATGTGCGCACTGGCTTTACTTCTGGTCAAGTGATGTAGACCTCAGTCTTGGCCAGTAATTCCCCTCTTGGAATATAGCGCATAGAATGGGGAAGTGTAGGCAGTTGCATATGCAGCCTTAATAGAAAAGAATAGGGCTGACTGGCTGGTTGTGTAAATGGAAGGGACTGGAACCTCGAATTGATCACTCAGCTTGATTTCAGGCCCCAAGCCAGGAAAATAATTATAGTAAGGAGCCTCCTTACTTCCTTCTCTGCATCCAACGTGGGATTCACATTTTCCAAACTTCACACAGCACAGCCCCTCCTCCAATCCTCCCTCCTTCCTTTCTCCTTCAATCCTCGTGTCAGGGTCCGAGGCTGATGACAGTATCGCATGTTCTGATCTGTGCGACCTGCACCTCTCGGCGAAAGAGCCTCTTGTCTCTCTCCTCGGTCTCTCATTCGACTCGCTCGCATAATCCACCGACAGACACCCACCACAGCCCACAATCCCGCAAACTAAGTTCTGACACACACCCATCCAATTTGAGTCAAGGGTGTAGGAATCAGGAAAAGGGAAAAGGTGGAAAAGGCCCGAGCCAACTCCGCAAACCTCGGTTATCATCGCCTCGTTGTCAAGTCAACTGCAGATACCTGTTCGTTCAACATCATCATCATCATCATCATCACCACCACCATCACCACCACCACCCATGACCGCGCCCGGACCTAATCAAGATAACCAGGATTTCTGTGATTGATGCGACATGATAGCATAGCCGCCGCCCACTCATAATCCCTGGTGTCCAGTTGCCAAGATGGCTCATCCACCGTTTCCTTTCGACATCTTATACGCTTTTCTCCGAGAATGGCCGATCTGATAGGACGACTTGCATAAAAGGCCTACACAGATAGGTCCGATTGCTTGTGATTTCATCCGTCCATCAGTCGACTAGAAAGCCAGTTGTCTAGTGCATGGGAGGTGGTGCTTCAAGAAAAATCTGTCCGGGCTAAGGGAGCTGTAGACTAGGTAGGGGGTGGGGATCGAGACCCTCCGCCAAAGAATGAGGGCCAGAGAGTTTTCACTCTGGAGCCTGTGATTTCTTGTCGCAAACGCTAAAGTGAAGTGTGCTCACTAAGTTTACGGGGCCCCTTCGGGTGACATAGAATGATGACGCTGATGATCGAGGGCTTCTGAAGGTCGGTGATGGATTGAGTCATCGCCATATGGTCTAACTATCATGTCACTCCTTTGTCTAGGTTCTGGTGGTGAGACGGTTTTACTAATCTCAAGGCTGAGTAACCAGTGTACAGCCTCCCAAACAGATGACCGATGAGAATGCGATGGGTTGACACCTTCATGAGCCCGATACGAAGTTATCCACCCGCTGGGTCGTCTTTCGCATCTCCACCGCACACGCACGCACACACACAGAGCACCTCAGCCCCCTTAGACTACCATTCATTATCACCACCACCATTATTTGGACGACATCCTGACTTGTCCTATCTCACATCGGGACAATCTCCCCGGGTCTGAGGTATAGATAGAGAATTTTAAACACACACCAGAACCACCAACGAAGTTGCAGCAGAAAACTTTAATAAACCAAACCGGCCCAGCAACAGTTCAGTGGGCCTGGTGGGTCTCGGGAGTCTCCCGCGTCGTTTTTTTCTCAGTGGGCAGAATCTGCTGTTGCCCTGGAAGGTTCCCTAACTTGACGATGGTCTCGCCCGCCCCCCCCCCCGTGCCTTTCGAAGAGTTTTCCTTGGGTTTCGATGCTTGGTGTCCAATCTCCACTTGGCAAATTCTTGAATCCAGAGAGTCAACAATTGCAGAGTGGGATTTGGGGCTGACCTCAGACCGCCCCCCAGGCATCCACTCACAGTCTCACACCATCACACATCTCGCTCTTCCCCCCCTCCTTGGAAAAAAAAAAGCCACACTTCTCGGCGCACTCGCCCTTAATTCTTTTTTGATTTGAATATTCTTTATATTCATCACCCTTCCCTTCCTGCATAGGAACTTCCTGCATCCTTCCGGCATGCTGATCTTGCTGTTTCCATCCAGTCAGATGCGAGACTGCTAGCATGCGGTCCTAAGAAGCACTAGCAAATATCCAGCTGGGCGTCCGCCATACATCAGTCGATCGCTGCATCTCACTGCGAGTCTGCACTTAGGTCATTTCACGGCCCCTCTCGCTGCTCTTGACCTGTCGATCCCGTTTCATTGCCAATAAAACCCGCCCCCAAACTCGACTCAATCCCGAGTCCGGACTTCCGCGATTCTCTCTGAAGATAAAAAAGAAAAAGCAACCCATCTTGTCCTACACACGTCAGGCCTAGATCTTTCACAGGCACCTGTGCATTCATACCTACTATCGCACACCGCATCCTTACAGCCTGTCGACAATCAGCCCAGTCGACGAATCCGACCCCTTTCTTGAAGCACTGAAGAACATTTGCAATCATCATTGATTGCTGTCCACCTTCTACCCCCTGGGTCTTCCTTCAACTTCGGATTCTCTTGTTTCTGTCTCTTTAAATCACTATGCACCTCGCTCAATAACCCGGCGTTGCTCTTCGCAACTTTCTCTCGTCTTCCTACTTGACTTTCTTCGCCAGCAAGCAAGCGCGCTATATTGACTGTCTTCCTTACCGCTTCTCATCATTATTCCTGATCACTACATCTACTTCCAGTCGGCCCTTGGTCTCTCATCCGTCACAATGGCGCCCAACCTCTTTATCTGTCTACGCAAAGCATTCTGTCCCGTGTATTGGTTTCAGCGCGGAGAGCGCATCCACGGGTCTATCCACAAGGAGGAACACTGGGAGAGCCCTGTTCCTGGTATCTACAAGTACATCCCTGGTCGGGGATGGCACCTCATTCTCAAGGATGGCAATGAGCACGAGGAGAAGCTGCCGGTGCCCCTTGTTTACTGCCGCATCCTGCACCGATACATTTTCGAACACGAGATGGAGGAGCGCTGCCGCTGGCACTCGGTGACCATCCATGAGGGAGCCAAACCCGAACGACTCCTTTTCTTTCTGCTGGATGACGGCTACACCTGGGTTGCCGGCTGGGACGCCAAGGGAAAGTTCATCCCAGGTCCGTATCAGAAGTGGCACTACGACTCGGAGACGCGCACCATGCGCCGCGAACTGTTCCCCGAGAGCTCCAATGTTTCCCGTGCCAGCATCGTGCCGAACAAGTTGACCTGATCCTCTACCTCCTCGAATGAGATGATCGACCATCGCATCTAAGTCGCGTCGGCAGCTGGTCTCTACAGCGCACGCGTTGGCCGTTCACGACCGATTCAGAACGATTCTTGCTGTTTTGAGCTAGCGTTCTAGCGTTTTCTTTCATTTCGCTTTCTTGTCTGTGTTTTCTTCGTTTTGCTTCACGGGTCACGCATAAATCGCTCATGAACTTGCTGGGACGGCTCTACTACTTTGTTTTCTGGGTAGAGACTTTCTTTCCATAGCGACGAAGGCGTTTGGGTCAAGGTTATAGACAACCGGATAGATGTTTTTTGTTTGTTAGACATCCTGTGCTTGATGATGGGATTTTCGGAATTAGCTTTAGCAAAAGACTCTGCTACGAGCAGATTGCATATAGAAGGATGGACGTGTTCAAAGATTTCTTGTCGTGTACGAGACTTGTAGTATACAGTAGTCAAGTAGTATCCAGTATATCGGTCTGGATCTGCATCCGAAGTAAAAGATAAAAAAAGATTTAGTTGTTGCAAGCAGAGGTGAGGATCTGCATGACAGCTGCATGAGACATGTCATTCAGGATCCTTGGGGCTGGATCGGCGGTCACAGAAAAACATGTGATAACTTGACTGTAGCGTTATCAATGATGCCACAACATACATGTACTGTATATTTTTCCATACTTTATATCCGGGGTGAATTCCTTGATCCATGATCGTGTCCAATCGAGTGCCCACGTCCACCCATGTGCTCTCCTATCTTCGCTATCAATGGCTGAGAAGCATTATGCCATCCTCTGAACCAGGAAACTATCTTTGTTGCTCTTACGAATCCGCCCCCTCCCCCCCGAGCTCTAAGCATACGGTAGTATATGCAAACCATCTCGAATAATCCTACACTGCCAACCCAGTAGACAGATACTTAGGCCCGCACAGCACATCGACGTCTATGAGGAAGGAATTTAATTTACAACCGCGCCTTCTCACCCGCCTGCTGCTGCTGCTGCTGCTGTCCCGTGCCCTTTTTTCCCTCCTGGCCGCTCTCGCCATCCTCATCGTTCCGGATAAGCAACCGCTCTAACCCCCGCCGCACCACCGGATCCATCCCGCCGGCCGTCGGCCGCATCGTCTCCCGCGCCACGAAGACATGCGTATACCCGCCCACCACCTTCACGGCCGCCTCGCCCCGCCGGAACACCCCGACCTCGTAGGTCACGCTCGAGCGCCCGAGTTTGTTCACGCGTAGGCCTAGTTCCAGGGTGTCCGGGAAGGAGACGCTGGCGAAGTAGTCGCAGTTGGAGGAGATTATGAGGCCGATTTGGGGGTTTGGGGGGGTTGAGTGGTGGTTTGGGTGGTGAGTGAGGTGCGCTCCTTCTCCGCGGGGTTGTTGGCGCTGAAGGGGTTCATGCCGCAGTGGGTGATTAGGTAGGTGTTGATGATGGAGTCGAAGAGCATCGTGTAGACTGTGTTGTTGAGGTGGGCGTACATGTCGTTGTCGTACCTGGTGGGTTTGGTTTGGTTAGTTTGGTGTTGGCTAGAGAGGGGGAGCTTCGGGACTGGGGAAGGCGTGTATGTACCATCTTGTTTGGTGGGTTTGGTGGAAGAGGTAGTCGCTGCGCGTGCGGCGCTTTTTGGCTGCGGTGGTATTGGTGGTGGTGGGTGGCATTGTTATGTGGTTGAGTTAGGCGATAGGGGGAAGGGGTGTTGGGTGGATTGTTTGCTGGGGTTTTGCTATGAATGATGGGAGCGTATAGGCTCAGTTCTTCGGGTTGATTAAGATAAGGAAATAGTCTGCAATTGAATCTGGAGAAGACTCTAGGTTGATGCGAATGCGGAGGGCGGATGTAAATGGCTTTATGATTCCTTCCGGGGATGTGGGGCAGTTTGTGATGAAGCTCAAGGGACCTCGGCTGGTTGTGTCGGTTGCCTACAGTATACTGTACTTCTTGTTCGGCCGTTCGATGCTTGAGGTTTATTTCTGGAGAAAGTCTTCATCTGATTGAGGATATCTTTGCCCCTCGCAACAGGAGAAGAGTATTGTGCTTGCAACTTGGGACCCAGATAACATCTCGAGATGAAAATGCCGAGGTATGATTTTGAGACTAACCATAAGTGGCTTAGCTCATGTGATAAGTGGCCGCAGACACCTTGTTTATCAGGTGTCGGATATGCCAGTATATCCCAGCTCTGTCCTCCTTCCTCTGGTTGTTCACCTAGCTGCACCTTCCTCAACCAGCGAACATTAGCATTGAGACTCAAGATGACTCGTCTCCATTCTTTATTTTGGAGCTTCTTACCACCAACATCTACAAGCTGCATGATACCAAGGTCGAATCTATCTATCAGACCCATGAATATCCCGATTCAGGCTGGTCAATAGCACGAACATCGATCTGCAGTCTTTGGCTGCGTCCTGTTTCATTCTATAACCAGTGGAGACCCTCTCCTTGTTAGTTTCACAATGAAGGTCTTTAACCTGAGAGCCTACATGATAGGCCTACTTTATACCATCCTAGCACACAATTTTGCCGCTGCGCTCGGGCTGGCAAATATCATGACCGAACTTGGTCCTCGGCTCTCTCCAGGTGCACGAATCATTCTCCAGAATAGTCCAGACTTTGCAAATGCCACCAGGCGATGGTCTCCTTTTGCTGAGCCTCGTTTCACCGTTGTTGTCGACGTTGCTGTGGAGCAGGACGTTGCGGAAACAGTATGCTCCTCCTGCTTCTGACATTACTATAGCTGATCCTGACCATGAATTAGGTTGAATACGCCAATGAAGTGGAAGTTCCCTTTCTAGCTGTGTCTGGCGCTCACGGCACAGTTACCAGTTTGGCAAAGTTCCATTATGGTATCGAAATATGGCTGCATAGACTTAACTGGACTACCATTTCGGAAGACGGTGATACGGCTACCTTTGGTGGCGGGATCCTCGGCGGCCACCTCGTTGATGCGTTGTGGAGAAGCAAGAAATATACCGGTGTGTTGTCCACACCTCCTAGCACGTGCCATATTGCTGACGATATCCATAGCGACTGGTGTGTGTGAATGTATCGGTTACCTTGGCCCGCTCCTTGGCGGAGGTCACGGTGTGTTGCAGGGAAAGTACGGCCTTGCCTCTGACCAAATCGTTTCACTACGCTTGGTTACTGCGGACGGACAGCTTCTCGATGTTTCAGAGTCTGAGCCAGATCCTGAACTGTTTTGGGCCTTGCAGGGCGCCGGTCATAATTTCGGGATTGTCACTTCGGTCACTGCAAAGATCTACGATGTTCCAGATCAGGGTCTTTGGGCTCGTGAGGCATACTTCTATGGTCGTAATAGCATCGAGAATGCATTTGAGACATGGAACCAGATCCTTCCGCGCCAACCTCCTACTGTGACCATTCTCAGCGTTCTTGAACGAAACATTAGCATGATTCCTACAGATGTAAGGTGACTACAAGGACTCCAAGCCTATCATGGTGTGCTAACCAATCCATAGCCAGTTCTTCAAATCTCTGTCTTACAAGAGAATGTCTCTCGTGTCGACCCTGCTTATACCGAAGCCTTCCGTGCTCTGAATCCCATTGCTATCATATCCCAAGTCGGAACCTACCGCGATATACCAGGATGGGAACTTATGGCTTTCAACTCTATCCAGTGCGCTGCAAGAAACGTTTCTGCGCCTCATTTCCCAGTCGGGCTCCTGAGATGGAATACTACGGCGCTGCGCAAGGTATACGAGGCTTTCTCAGCGGTGACTGCGGAAAATTCGCCGTTCAATGCTTCTGAAGTAATTTTCGAGGCATATCCAGTACAGGCCAAGATGGCCGTCCCAGAAGAATCTACAGCCTATCCTTTCAGGGAAGACATTTTGTACGCATATCCAATAATTAGGTACAATGCAAACGCGAGCCTGGACCATACCGCCATCGAGGTCGGTGATGCACTTCGGCGAATTCTCTTGGAAGGCAGCGGCCGGGAAGAACTCCACGCGTACGTCAACTTTGCTGCTGGTGATGAGGCACCCGAGCAGATCTATGGCTACGAGGAATGGCGGTTAGATAAGTTGAAGGAGCTGAAGAAGAAGTATGATCCTGAACGGCGGTTCAGCTACTTTGCGCCCATTCCTATCTAGGTGTTCTTACGAGCGGCTGTCTTCTGTTTGACGACCTAACGTGGACCCCTATGTTGGGTATTATTATGACTAGATATCAATACTGTATTCATAGTCTACCTAGGGTTAAGTATTGATGGGGGAAAAAAGGGTTTTCATGATGGATATGCTCTCGTACGCAGGCGACTGGCCGTTAAGGTGATTCAGAGTCTGGCCGTAGCTGAATCCAAGCTTGACATTGACCAAATCGTCTTGACGAGTGGCTGGTGTTTGTGGCACAGGAACCCGCAAGGGAGAGCGGGAGGATATATTATCGACCCACCGGCCTCTTTGTTGTCGTAGTGGCATCGTCGCACAGCATTTTGAGGTTAATTTGACCCTAGCAAGGAGGGAAGACCTGGGCTGGTCTCTGCACAAAGCCTCTCAGCAAGTTTGCATGGCTGGTGTTACCGTGGAGATCATGGTATAATCCAGGCTAGACAGGAAAGGACAATGGCGTCACTTCAACTTGGAGCTGACCTCCCTGGAATTAATGGCTGGTGTAGACTTAGATCACCACCACCGCGTCATAGTTTAGCTACTAATCAACTTTCAGACCGCTGGAGCCTCAACCCGACTTGTCGTAGTGTGTGCTGTCGTGGATGCTGCATCCGATCACCCAGGGGCCTGACCGGAGGAAGAAATGGAGCTGACTGGCCAGACTAACCAACGGAGACTAACCACACTAATTCAACCCCTCGATCCACACGTGTTGTTTTAAAGTGTTGATCGCTGCTCATAAAACAATGGAGTAAGCAGACAGGGAAGAGAATCAGTCAGGCACACAGCATGGAAGAATGACGAAAATCAATGACTCGGTGGTATTCTGGAGGGACAATCTATGCTATTATTATGCTATTATTAAAGACATTCAAGAGTCATGACATTGAGGAACCCTTTGCATACAATAAACACGACTATTGACACTTAAATATCCACCTATCCCCTCCCCACCGCTTCCCGCAAACCCTTTCATACACTCCCCTCTTATTCGGACTGTACTCTGTGCTGCTGCTGCTGCTATTGTTGTTATTCTTAGTTCTCATCGTTGCTGGCTCCTCCGACCTCTCTTTTCTCTCCCCCTACCGACTGAGTTACCCAGCCAAGTCACTCCTTTGCCCCCTCTTGATCGGTCTTTCTCCTGCTTGGCGTTTTCTTCTTCTAGCCGTCTTTCAATCTTCTATTTATACTCGTGTTCTGTGTTCCATTTTCTCCTACCGCTAGGTTTCACGCCGACCCCCAAGTCTAAACTTCCGCCTCCTGCAACACGGTCCGACGTCCTTTCATTTCCGCAGCTTAGTTTCCACGATTTGTCTCCTGAAGTTGCTGTTCATATCTCGTCCTTATCGGCCAACCTCTCATGAATTACGAATATGTCAACCACGACGACCACCGCTCTGGCGTCCACCATGCTGGTCGGTACCCTGCCCACTATGACACACGCCGGAATGATGCCAGGCAAGACCTGCCCGACCTGTGGATATGACCGACTCTCCTCGGAAAGCAGACCAATCGATCAAGCACAATATCGCGTGAAAGAATTAGAAGGGCAACTTGAGTTTCTCAACGTCCAGGCGACACAAATGGGTAAGGAATCTTGCATCGCAAATACCTGCACTGGGGTTGTCTTAGCTAACTCAGCCTGTGTCCAAACCAATAGCCGAGAGAATGGCCGAATATGAAGAAGAGATCCGTCGCCTCCGCGCTCAATCCACCGCACAAAGTTCCCGAAATGGCTCCTCTATATCCTCCACCTCGTCGACCCAATACAACAGAATAACAGACCTGTCAATGTCGCCTCCCTCGTCGCAGACCTCTCCGAAGTCACATGGCCAACATAGCGGGCGCTTATCCACGCTGACCTCCCTGTTGCCCTCCCGCCGACCCGGCGCCCCGAGCGCAATCCAGCCCCAGCCAATAATCTCTCCACCGCCGATCACCAGCTACGAGGAAACATTGGAACTACAAAACGCACTCAACCGAGAACAGAGCCTGCGCAAGGCCGCCGAAACACAATTGTCGCAAGCCAGCACGGAGTTGGAGGAATTGACGGCGCAACTGTTCAGCCAAGCGAATGAGATGGTCGCGCAGGAGCGCAAGGCAAGAGCGAGACTTGAGGAGCGGGTGGCGGTACTGGAGCGCCGGGATGTCGAGAAGAGGACCCGACTTGAGCGCTTAGAAAAGGCAATGGAAAGGGTCGAAAGGATCCGAGCTATGGTTGGCTAGCGATTCGAAGGATGCACACGTGAGGATTGTGGACGCTCCGGACTATACCCCCTTTCTGTGCCTGTCTTGTTCTGGGTCTCCGTCCATGCTTTCAGATTAATACTCCCAGTCTTATACCCATACCCCTCTTCTGGCTTTATTTTTGGCGCTTGGTTACTTGGTATGCCCTTTCGAGTTTGACATGCGATACGACCTGATGGGTCAATGGGTCACCCTGCTTATGAGTGACGATTCTGCATCGTGTTCTGGTGACAGGCGTTCTGTTTATTCATTGGTATCCTTGCATAAAGCGATTGCATTGTTTTTTTAATCTATGTACTCTATTGGCTTTCCGAAGGTTATACCTCGTCAAAATACTCTTTCTTATGACTCTCAAATGTCATCATGCAGTTCCAGGAACCCCGCGGCGGGATGCCAGGAATTAGTCTGGTTGCAGACCCACTTCAGGGTCTCCCCGTGGCTACCTACTGATCTCCATCCTGCTCTGCTATCGTCATTTCTTCCAAGGTTCATATTTTCAGGTTTTATAAAGTTCCTCCTCACTCACAATGTCTATCGGAGTTGCTATCATTGGCAGTGGTAAGTGATAGTCACTCTGAGATACTGCTTTCGCATCGACTGACAGAGCACTCAGGCATCTTTGCCCGGGAAGAACACTTGGTACGAAATTCATAATTCCTTCTTTCTTCAGTAAAGCTATTCGAGCTCCCAGCTGATGTCGCAATCCGCAGCCCGTAGCCCGCGCCTCGCCCGATTTCGCGCTCAAGGCAATTTATTCCCGCTCTCTTCAGTCAGCACAGAACCTCGCCTCTGGAGTCGAGGGAGTAGATCTATACTCGGAGGATGCCGGCACCGGCAGAAGCTACGCGGACCTCCTAGCTCGGGAGGACGTGCAAGCTGTCATCATCGCGTGAGTGCTTGATGCAATAGCATACAATAGTTACTTGCCGAGCTAATCGAATGCCCGGGCAGCTTGCCGATTCTCGCCCAGCCTGAGTACATCAAGCAGGCTCTTACCGCCGGGAAACATGTCCTGTCCGAGAAGCCCATTGCCAAGGACCTGGCCACCGCCCAGGAGCTGTTGCAGTGGTACACTGTCAACATCGACACCAGCAAGACTCTCTGGGCCGTCGCAGAGAACTACCGCTACCTGGCCAAGTTCATCCGGACCGCCGAGGAGGTCCGCAGATTGGGCGGAGTGAAGAACTTCCGCGTGAGCGTGCGCAGTCTGATCAAGACGGACTTCAAGTACTACAGTAAGGAACTCCCTTTCTACGTAGGAGTCTGGATTACGAGTTGCGCGAGAAATCGGGCAGGCTGACAATGTCACACCCAGAGACGGAGTGGCGTCGGACCCCAGCTCACCAGGGCGGGTTCGTCCTTGACGGCGGCATCCATCTCGTCGCGGGACTGCGGCTGATTCTCGGAGAGCAGGAGGCGCTGGCCTCGGTGTCCGCGCAGTCGAGTCTCCTGCAGGAGTATCTGGCTCCCGTGGACACCGTGGATGCCGTGGCGCAGACGAAGTCCGGAGCATCGGGCGCCATCACCATGTCGTATGGCTCGGCATTCAACGACTTTGTATTTGAGTTCGACTGCGCGCAAGGTGCGGTGACGCTGAACGGCGACCGGGTCACGGTCAAGGGAGAGGGCTTCGAGGTGCCCTTTGAGGGCCGGGGAGTGAACCACGAGGTGGCTGGGTTTGCGGCATCGATTCGGACCGGTGTGGTGCAGGCCTTGTTGCGGCCGGAACAGGCGCTGGCGGATTTGGAGGTGATGGAGGGGATTTTCACGAGCCATGGGACGCGGGTTGACCTACGACTGCAATAGATAATAGTTAGTAGGATAAACGCATAAAGTCCAAGAAAAATAAGATTAGTCATGTGCATGATAGAACGGCATCCATGGTCGGAACTAACCCGATTGAGACGGCAGCAGTCAAGGGCACGCGGGGCGAGCCCTAACACACGGAAGAGGTTAGTCTCGCTTAGCGAAGCCACTAGGGCGAGTCTTGCTCGGGCGGCCAAACCTGAAGCGCGAAATCTCGAGACCGAATTTCGACCCCTACGACAACTCCCAGCGCCAGCCCGCGAGAAGACGACAAGGTATGTGTTGCACGATTGCCGTTGGTCTCACTGCATACTGACTTGGGATTTGTTCAAGATGGTCCTCGCAAAGAAGCACGTCCCCATCGTCAAGAAGCGTACGTTTGCACCTTGTCCTAATATCCTCACCCACCATGAATATATCCTGCCGGGAGTCGAAGTTCAGCCATCAGTCGATCGGTCCTTGGTAGCCAGCCAGCAATCGTACTATAGCGACAGGGAAGAACGACAATCGCAACGAGGAAGAGAACGAGGAGGATGATCTGGATGCGAACGATGGTTGATTATGAAGGAGGATTCGATTTCTGCATGGAATGAGCGATTCGGACGACCAATTTCACTTGTCAAATGCACCGACAACTTGATACGACAGTTCGAGCAAGCCACAAGACGCATGCACGCAAATCATCACTGGCTTCCGAAGGACTGATTCACCTGGAAAACTCGAACCTGAGCTATCTCCCGAGGGCGAACCCAACCCACCGAATCACATCCTTCTCACCCACGAGGGGACATTTTTTTGGTTGACAATTTCCCGCTTTTACAGGCACCAAGCGTTTCTTCCGCCACCAGTCCGACCGCTTCAAGTGCGTGCCGGAGTCATGGCGCAAGCCCAAGGGTATCGACAACCGCGTCCGTAGACGCTTCAAGGGCAACATCCCCATGCCCTCGGTACGTCGCTTTCCTTGCCACGGAATGCGGAGCTGTCGACTAACAGGCCATTTCCATCAATAGATCGGTTACGGAAGCAACAAGAAGACCAAGCACATGATGCCCTCCGGCCACAAGGCTTTCCTCGTCCACAACCCCAAGGACGTCGAGCTTCTTCTCATGCACAACCGCACCTACGCTGCTGAGTACGTTTTTCCCCCTCCCCTGTCGCAGCGTTTCCGCCGGACCCAATGTATTAACGAACCCCAACAGGATCGCCTCCGCCGTCTCTTCCCGCAAGCGTGTCGACATCATTGCCAAGGCCAAGGCTCTCGGCGTCAAGGTCACCAACCCCAAGGGCCGTGTCACCACTGAGGCTTAAATGGATTTTTTTTTTTACTTAAATCAAAAAAGAAGAGAACCTATTTATGGAATGATAATGTAAAGACTTTCCCAAATCTGCCGCTCCCGAAACCTACCTCTCTCTGTCCCCCTCTCCAATCCCCATCTCGAACATCCGGTTTTAAAAATCAAACACTTACACAAACTTGAGGCAAAAAGACCATGAATACCAATATCATCTCCATGACTCTCTCTTCCTAAAAAAGAAAAATCCAATGGAGAAAGGAAGCACGCCTTGACCGGGATCTCTGGTATCAAATCATCTGGGGACTTGGCTTTTATCATGAAGTGATGATATGATGCTTTGTCTTGTGGATGGGGACGCTAGGCTGTGCTTGTCGTTTCTGTTTATCGAGAAACCCGGGGTAACGGTTTGTTTTTTCTACGTGTGGGGGCTGCTTGGCTTGATGCAGAGCGATCTAAAGCAAGATAAAGATATGTCAATGCGATGCGCGTGGCTTGGCTGGTGCTGCTGGTCTGGGAATTATCTGTCTTCTTTTTGTAAGATTGGGTGTAGGACGTAGTGTAGGGGCTGTAGTGTTGTTTCCTGGTGTTGTTACCGTTACCCTGTGGGGATGTGGCAGACACTCATTTCCTTGATGTTGTAGAGGATTCATATGGTCTAGCTATGAGTGTTGCTCTACCATTGATGCTGGAGTGAGTTGACCCAGCAATGCAGGAATGCAATCGCTTGGTGAGGGAGTATAACGAGAAGAAATAAACTGAACTTCTATGGTGATATCATCGCGATTCTATGTACCAAAAAAAATCTATGCTGTGGCTTGCGCAGTCTCCGCATTAGCAGCGGCAGCGGCAGCAACAGCAGCTTCATGCGCCTGCCTCTCCACCGAGATATCCACCAACCCGACCCCCTGGACCAGCGCCGGGATACCTCCTCCTCTCCTCTCGGCATGATTCTTCGGGTTATCATCGCCATCCCCATCCCCACCGAGCTCCGGCACCGTCCCATACCCAATCACAATCTCCTCGTCCTCGGGGACATCGACCCAGTCCGGCATCGCGCGGGGGCCGTCCACGCCGACGGGGGGCAGCCCCCAACTCGGCATCTGGCTGGTGTACTTCCAGCCGTCGGGGCCCTCCTTGTCGGCGTACGCCGCCGCATGCAGGAAGATGCCCAGCTCCTCGGGGCTGGGGTCGGTGTACAGCTCGGTGTCGCAGACGGGGCAGCGCTCGCCGGACAGGCGCTCGCCCTTGCGCTTGTGGTAGCGCTCGACGGCGGCCTCGTGCTCGCGGGACATGATCTCCTCGACGACCGAGGCGTCGGTGCCGGGGGGCACGAGCGGCGCGGCGGTGAGATGCGTGCGGTAGCTGTTTTCGCTGCTGTCGGGTTTTGTGCCGGTGCTGGCAGCGGTACCCTCCGCGACGGTCTCGGTCTTGCCCAGGTTCGACAATCGGGCGATCAGCTCCTGGTCGCGTTCGTCGGAGGTCTCGTTCTTGCCCAGGTCCGGGCCGAAGACTTTCCGATTGCTGTAGATCGGGTCGTTGGAGATCGGATGCCCCAGGAACTGCAGGTGCACGCGGATCTGATGCGTGCGGCCCGTCAGCGGCAGGCAGTGCACGATGCTGTAGCCTTCCTCTTCGTTGGCGTAGATCGGGGGCGGCGTCGCTACCCCCGTCCCTTCCCCTTCCCCACCCACTCCCGCTGCGGCTGCCGCAGAAGAAGGAGGAATATACGCCAGCCGGCGAAACTTCGTCTTAGCCTCCTTCCCCGTGGCGCGCACGCGGTTCAGCCCGACCTTGGGACTCACCGACATAATGGGCTGATCGCACACGACCACCCCATCGGGGAACCGGCCCTTGACGCGCGCCACGTACTCCTTCTGCAAGGTGCGCGCCTTGAGTTTCTCGCACATCATCTCCGCCGCCTTGGGGTGCTTCCCCAGAAACATGACACCCGAGGTCAGCCGGTCAAGGCGGTTGCAGGGCCGCGGCACCCAGTCCGGGTGCCGCTGGGACCGCAGGATCTCCAGCACCGAGTTGTAGTGGTACCGTCCGGCCGAGTGTACGGGCACGCCGGCCGGCTTGTCGATCACGATCAGGTCGTCGTCCTCGTGGATGATCCCGATCTCCTTGCCCGTCACGGGCGGCTCGTGCCGGTGCAGCGTGTGCGAGATGATCTCGCCGTTCTTGACGATCGTGTGCGGGGTGCCTGGTTTGCCGTTGACGCAGACGAGGCCGGTTTCGAGGGCTTTTTTCTGTCCAGCGCAGATTATGTTAGTTGGATTTGAGGAATGGAGGGGAAAGGAGAGGATGTGCTGGGGGGAAGAAGGGGTCACCGTACGTAGTATTCGGCCGGTCGATCACGGAACTCCGACAGGAAGATGTCCAGCAACTCCCGCCCGCGCCAGCGCTCCTTGCAGTAGGTGTTGTAGGTGTAGTGGTAGGGCTTGACGCGGCGCAGTCCGCCTTCGAAATAGTAGGGAGCCGGCCAGGGGTCGCAGGGGGTCACGGCCACCTCCGGGGGTTCCTGGACCGGATCCGGAGGCGGCACTTGGAGGGTCGTGTCGACGGGGACAACGGCCATGCTGGACGTCGGGATCAGGCCTCGTCGCAGCAGGTATGCGAAAACACGAGGTGAGGGAGCCAAGGTCGACGACTGGCGGGAATGACAGGAAAAGAACAAGAAGAAAGGAGGGTGAGTAGTGTGGGGTTTACAATGAAAGAGATAAGCTCTGCGGCGGCGAAAAATGGCAAAAGAAAAAATTAACTAAAGTCCGGCGGGAAATTTTGGTGGTGCGGGGAAAGGGAAACAAGTTTGATTTTGAGTTATCGGCATCTAATACAGTACGGTAAACATTTTTCTTGACCTCCGAGCTCCCTTTTCAACACCTCCGCCTACGGCCGATAACCCATTCAACCCACCTAAGATCGAGTCAATTCTGATTAAGCCAAGGTATCATGTGTGTCAGAACTCACATTTCGTGTAGGCGCGACGGCAGGACAACAATATCCTCTTCCCGTGGTAAATGATCCTCAGATGTATATTCCTCAATGGTCCGGTGAACCCAGCCCCGCCTGTAGCACATCCACATTGCCGCATCATTGAAGTCGAATGGTATGCTTCCCTTGGCTAAGATCTGGCTCAGTACATCAAGAGCCTTGGATGTCAATGCGGAGTGGGAAGGAAATGAGCGAAAAGCACCATGATTCTCGATGGACCTAAAGAATTGACTCTCATCCTTCAAAACTTCCAGCACATGGTCTTTAAAACTTCCAGCACATGGTCTATTGTGATCATATGTATCTTTCCTTGTTTAATAAGATCGCAATGCGTCTATACTCAAGTCAGTTTGCAAGAAGCAAGCATAAATGGAATCTGTTCACGTCCTGATACACAACAGTACATACATTGAAAAGGATATCGACCATGGCGGCCACCATCCCGGGATGCGCACTTGTCAGCTTATACAAGTCAGCCATCGCCATGTGATCAATCGTGAACTCGTCATCGAACCCCCGTGTCGTCCGAAGTGCTACAACTTTACGTAATTCGTCTTCGGTGTAAACAAGCCGATATTTACCGAATACAGGCCAGGTCGAGGGGCCAGTGTGATATGCGACGCGATACCAAACGTCGTCGGAGTATATGCATAGTCCAGGTCCCTCCAATCCACGCCGGTCACAGGGTGTCCATAGTATGCGAAAAGGCAGATCTTGATATCTCCTAGGCGAAGCCCAGATTGCACGTCCTTGATGACCGTATTCCAGAAGTTCAAGTCGCGGTAGGAACCCTGAGCCTCGTCGATAAGAATCACCGTCTTTGCAGGAACAGATGCCCATGTTGGATCGAACTCAGGATCTCGTTGTCGCAGGCGCCAGCCGAACTGAGTCCAAGGGGATCCGGGTGGTGCTTCTTGGCGTCCCCATAGAGGGAGGAGATACACGTTGCGTTTGTGGTCGAGGTAGTATTCCCGGAGCAATCGGCACAGGACCGTTTTCCCGGTGGCTGGGGTGCCACGCACGAGAACGGCATTTTCAGAATCCACCGCGGCGGCGAGCTTGGACACGGTATCCTGGCGCGGACATGTCTATTTATCAATAGCTGTCAGCAGTGAACTCATAGCCTCGGGGGAAAGTGAATATGAGTGTTGCATGCTTACAACCGGGGGCATAGGATCGCGTGTACTCATTTTGCCGGTAGATGCTGGAAGAGGGTGGCTTTCCTGTGAAGCGTCGTTGACGCCCTCATGAGGACTCGAAGGAGCAGGAACAGGCTGAGAAGCGGAGGGAGAACTCATCTTTTGGAAGGTGAGCTGGACTCACTCGTTGTAGAGAATATCTGTGAGATTGGTTGTGTCTCTTCTTGCCTCTCTCTGAGTTGCTTCCCTCGAATACACCTTTCCGCTCCTTTCTCGGAGTTGCGGGGTGTAGGATGACAGCAAGTTGGATGCGAGAGCCGACGGTGGTGAAAGTGGAGTGTAATTTTACAGGATCTAATGCGAAGCACCAACCACCGGAGATTGGAGAAGGAGTTCGAGAAACGGCAATGCTCTTAAAGGAGAGGGTAATGACAGCTGAGAGGAAGGAGATAAAAAGATTTATATCGTTCACAAGTAACACACAAGTGACAGAACTCTAGCCTAGCCACTCCGTGTATATGTCACTATCTCCTCACTCACCCCGAGTACACTCGCAATGCCATCGGAATCTGACCCGGACCAGGACCCCAGGAATCTGCTCGTTTCCTCCGTAATCATGACATACAGTCTCATCTATATGTATCATCGAGTCCCATACCTCAGCATCTTTTTCCACATAGCCCTCTCATTACCTTTCGGTCTGAGAGCGCAATTACGACTGCAATCGCTCCACTCATCACTCCAAACGTCGACACCATGGCCGCCCACCCAGCCTGATCAACCAGAAGACCCGCCATCAGAGGCCCAAGCACCTGCCCACCGGACCATGCCACATTAAACAGCCCGTATGCTTGCGCAGTGCCTCCCTGGTGGCCGAAAATGCCTGGATATTCCCGCTCATATCGCTCCGTGACTCGTCCCACCTCAACCATCAACGAGACCATCTGCAGGGTTGACGCGGCTCCAGCCAGAAAGAGGAAGGCGACTAGCAGAATCTGGTGCTGGACCGTGTTCTCAGTGACGAACTGGAAGAGGAGAAAGGTTGGACAGTCGAGTAAAAAGCCTAGGAAGGCGATTTGTAAGGCTCCGAGACTGTCGACGGCATCGCCTTTGCGAACTCAAGGTTAGTTGAAGCCGGTTTTGGAAGTGGATAGACGTACCAATCCAAGGGGACGCGAAGGACGGTGCGAACAAGGGAAGGAAGCACAGGCCTATCCCCATCGGGCCCCAGTCGAATGTCTTCATAACATAAAGTGGAAGAACCTGGACCACGATCAGTCGCTGAAAGAAGATGGATGCAAGAGGATTGCAGTAACCACGGACCGTGTCGAATGAGGAGTACAAGATGGCATCGACGACAGTCGCCATCAACACAAGCATCAATTTACCAGAGCATATCAGCCGAACAATACCCGGTACGGACGTCTCTTTCCCGCTCGAGTCGGGCTCACTGCCATCCTCGACCGGCGGTTCAACGAGCACATCATCAGGTGGACACAGCGAGCTTGCACTGTCTTGTTCACTGAGAGCGCCGTATCCGGTACTCTTACCCAGCAAACCGCTGGATTCTTCCGTCTTTGACGGAAGCCACTTCGCGGCCGTCTTCTGCTCGATCATAACGAGACGAAGACTGATGTCCACCACAATCAAAGCGATCGCCAGCAGGAACACCGAGTGGTACCCGACTCGCGAGAGCCTGCATGGGTCGTCGTTAGCGACCGTCTTCCTCCAGCCCTGACAGCATGAATGCGCGAAACGTACATGATCCCACCGATGAACGGGCCGAATACCGTCCCAACTGTCAAAGCCATAGAGACATATCCCATGGCCGCCCCGACCTGGTCCTTGCCCACTGTGTCCACAACAAGCGCCATGCCGACAGTCCACACCACGGCTGCCGACAGACCTTGCAGAGCCCGCGCGATCACCAGCGACGACAACGACCTCGCGAACCAGAACACCACGGTCGTCCCGCCGAGGGCGAACAGGCCGATCATGAACGGAAGCTGGCGCGATGAGCTTCTGTCCGCAAAGTACCCGAAGATAGCTTGTGACTGGTCAGGACCTATTCTCCGAGCATACCAATTGGCGTGGGCGTGCAAGCTATCACTCACGGGAACCAAAGAAAATACCGCCCCCGAAGGCAGCAAGCATGATCGACATCCATTGCTGTACTGTGAAGCTTTGTGTCAGTGGGTCTGTCTGCCAATACAGCTATGGGAAAGCAAACGTACGGTCACCATCTGGCACAGAGACTCTCGTTTTCAAGACAATCGGTAATATGGGCACGATCTAGTAAACGATCGTTCCAGTCAGATACAACTGTCACCAGTATTCATCACTGGAGAACCGCACCATGCCGTAGATGAAAACGTCCTGCGTGCGGTGAAACGGCAATTAGCATCATGTTCAGGAAACAGGTAAAGCGACGCTATCCTATTTCCCCCCCCCTCACTCACCGTAAAACAGGCAATAGCCACCACCCAAGTCACAAACTTCTTGGAAGAGCGAAAGGCCAACTTCCATGGTGGGGAATCGCAGTCTGTCGCTGCCATACCGAATGTTCCGCCGACGGGAGGGGGCGATAAAGTAGTATGATCGTATGTAGCGGGAAAAGGGTCAACGACACGAACAAGTTGTACCCGAGTCGCACATTATAGCCCCAAGGCCGTCTTAAGGAGTTTAAATAGCTCAGCGACATCGGCGACGGGAACAGAGGAGGAGGGGGTTTTCTCTTTCGAAGAAGTAAAGCAAAGACAAAAGCAAAGTAAAGCAAAAAGGGTGGGCTGAGCTGACAAGTCAGTTAACTATAGGCCTACGGTTGTGGGGAACGGAGAACTAATGGGACTGATTTGCCCTTTTCTCCCTCTGCCTCTAGACTCGATGAGGTAAAATTTCGCAGAGCTGCATCGTCAGCGCATGAGCTGTCGGGATTGATTGGCATCGGCTGAGATCCGCGGAGTCTATCTATTGTCTCGGTCTACTGGTGTGTGCAGTAGGTCACTAAAAACTACTCGGTAGGTAGTAAATGATATCCTTATCTCTATCATCGTGACCGCTCGTTGGTGGCTCCGGCCGAGCTAGTGTGTATCTTAGATGATAACTAAGGTCGCCTACGTCCCGTGATAAATGAACTCGACTAGATCATTCTATAATGGCACTATTGCACTAATCTCACGCAAAATGACTTATGTCCAACTTCGAAGACGGCAAAAACATACGTGGACAAATTCACCGACACGAACGCGATAGGACAGGGGCACGCACAGATTGGTGTCCGAGTTGGACAAGATTCTGGTCCAGTGCTCAAGAAAATCACCAGTGCATGTCATTGAATGGCTCTCCACTGTCATCATCATCATCTTCTTCATCATGCTATCAAACTGGTTTGCTCGGATCGTCAAATTAGGGTCATGGATTCATCAGCGAAGCAAAAGAACAGGACTGACTCCCACACGCCGTTCCTGGACCCCCGAACACACGATACAGAAAGGAGAAGGGGAGTAATATGTTCGTCGGCAATGAAAGAGCGATCGATATTGCAAGAAGGCATTAGGAGAGAGAGAAGCCATGATTCAGAAACAGTTAACGTATACATTCACTTCCTTCACATCAGCCATCATGATCATTGGTGTATAACAGTTCGTCCACGTACATGGGAATAGCTAGCTCAGAGGAAAACCGAAGAAAACTGGAAAAAGAGGGGGAAAAGGAAACTTTTCGACATGCTTGACTGAGAGCAGTAACTAGATCCTGATCGTGGGCCTAGCCGGAACAGACAATCGGGAGGGGGGTAAAGAAGGGGAGAATGGTTCAAAGACGGGAAGACAACGGGTCATCAAAACAAATTAGCCACCGACATAACCAAAATCAATCCGGCTATTCGAAGAGAGCACACGGAGAATTGCTGTTAGGTCCAGGCTACGGCAGGGATCCAGTGCCGCGAGCTGGGACGCTCTGGCGGTAGTAGCGCGATATTTTGGTCAAGTGATGAACAGCTCTGGGGTATCGATGAATCTATGCGAACGTACGGCCACCGCGGCGGTTGTTGCGCTGTCTCCCCGAGCCAACCGTGCTCCAGCCCTCCTCATCGGCGGCTCCAGCCTGGGCCTCAGCGGGGGCGCTCCGCCAGCTGCCGTTAGTCTTGCTGGCAGCCGCATCGGTAGCAGCAGCCTCAGCGCCCTTAGCAGCCGTTTCCTCGCCCTGATCCTGTTCAGCCTTCTCGGCACCCTCTTCCTCACCGGCCTGCCGGAGGATATCGAAGTTCTTGCCACCCTGAGGAGTGTCGGTGACGTCTCTTCCGTTGGGGTCAGCCGTAGACACCGGCTTGTCGGTCTTGCCCTGCTCCTTGGAAGCGCGTTGCTTCTCGCCCTTCTCAGCCTTGGCCTTCTCATCAGCCTCCTTCTTCTGGCGGATGGCAAGTTGGCGACGCTCCTCAACTTCCTTCTCGCGGGCAGCGGTGTCGATGGGCTTAGCTCCACCGAAGATGCTGGCCTTGGACTCGCCGCCGGCAGCCGGGGACGAAGACTCAGTCACAGTCCGTTTCTGGAGGTTCAACTTGGGGCGGCTAGGAGCAGCGGGAGCGGCAGGGGCGGCAGCAGGCGAAGGGGGGTTGCTGGACTCCTTGGGCTGATCGGGGCGCATTCTGGACCGCCATGCGTTGTCGAGGTCGGCAGCGGTGGGCGTGCGTTCTTGACGTTCTTGGAATTCGCGGCGAGGAGGACGAGAGCCATCCTGAGAGCGTCCCTCACCAGAGGGTCCCTCGTGGGAGCGGCCCTCACCCCAGGCGGGGGAGCTGCGTCTGAAACCAGGTCCTTCGTTGCTGCGGGGGCGACCTTCCCTCACGGGGGCGGGAGGGGACAGAGGGCCCTTGCGCTCCCAGTTGTTGAAATCGCGGAACTTGCCATCGCTCTCGAAGTTGCTGCGACGGTTGTTACCGCCGCGTTCACTGCCTGCATCAGACATGTTATCCATGTTGCGTCCGAAGTTGGAGCGATCGAAGTTGGAGCGTTCAGGGACGCGGCGCTGGGGAGCATCCGGAAGAGGGCCCTTGCGGGTCCAGTCAAATTCCTTGACATCGCGCTCCTTGGCTAAAAGCGGTTGTCAGCCAGCATATAACAGTATCCAAGAGTAGCAAAACCTACGAGGCTCAGCGATGCTGACACGGATCGCTCTTCCCTGAAGAGTGGCGCCAGAGAGGTCGAGAGCCTTCTTCAGACCATCGACAGTCTCAAACTCGACATATCCGAATCCCTTGGGGGCCTTGGTCAACTTGTCCTCCACAACACGGACGTTGGTCACACCGCATTCGGCAAAGAGATCGGAGATATCGGCAGAAGCCGCATCGAAGGACAGATTACCGACGTGGGCGGTATAGGGAGGCTGAGTAGGAAGAGGGAGAGGCTCTCTGACAGCGTAACCACCACGCTCGCGTTCTTTCATCGAATCATGTCAGCCTAGGAAATTCCTCGAACTAGTTTTGTAGCGGAGAAGCCATACCACCAAATCCATTACCGAAGCCGGAAGAAGAGGCAAGGCCCATAGGGCGGCGGTCGCCTCCGAAGCTGGTCGAGGAAGGGGCTGGCTAATGATTAAAATGTTGCCATCATGATGAGACTGAGGGTGCGCTCAAAAAACCACGTACCGGCTGTAAATCATCGTACGATTAGCAAAGATCGTTAGAACTATTTCAGAATGAAAAACACTTACCAGGCAAAGGCATGTCGTCCATCTCATCGGCCCAAGAGCCGAGGGCTAGTCGTCATCAGTAATGTTCATCCCCGCGGGGGTATGGGGATATCTCGACGGACTTACACTCATCAGCCAAGAAGTTGCCTAGCGACATCTTCTGGGCTTTCTGCTTTCCGGGCGCTGAACATATGAAGGATACATCAGTAAACAGGGACATCTTTGAGGGGTAGAGAGGTGTGGGTTGCGACAGCGCGCAGGGCCACAGAGAGGGGTTGCAAACGAACCCATGATTGCGGTTGTTCAGTTCGGGGAAACGCGCCAAGGGAAGTTCCTGTGCGCGTCTCGGGGGTTGAAGGTGAGAGTTGGATGGGGGTAAAGAAGACTTCCGAATTAGAAGTCTTGAGGAATTGCGGAGGATGACGTTCAAAGGACGATGAACGATGGGTGGGTTGGGATGCAAGGAAGCTCCGCAGTTGAAGAACAGAGGGGAAAGTAGGTTTATCCGTGAGGATAATTTTTAGTGATGACACTAAAAAAGTCAGCCTCCAAAAAGTGTTGGTGCGGCTTTTGGGCCTGTTGGCGCTCGACCCAACCAAGTAAGTCCCAGTCCAGCTTCCCGAGGGCTTTTTTCCCCTTCCAGTCTTTCCCAGCCCACCCCCTCTTTTGCTTGGGACTCTTTTTGCGGAGAGAGAGAGAGACTGTGTGAAAGTGAAACTCTCCACTTGAGTTTTGTATTTTTTAATCTTTCTTTTCTTTTTCTTTGAATCATGTGTTCCCAATTCTTATTACAGGTTCAAATACTTTTAAGTCGATTGCTGTGGGGATATTTCTTTCTTCCGCTGCTTACTCTTCCCTTCCACGCCTCATCCCGGCCGAGCGCATATGCCTTCACTGCTCATATTAGCCGGCAGATTTGACATGTAGACAATCCAAAAAAAAAAAAAAATCTTTCGCGGGGATATGAAACATCACCTGTGATGTTTGTGAACCATGCCGCCTTGAATTATTCTTCTTCTTGACACAATTCCTCCCGGCGGACACATCCGCAACACTACTGCATGGAGACAAGACTTCTATTAGACTATTCAGCTCTCACCGACAAGGAAAATTAGATAAGGCTTCTGCATTCTTGCCATTCTTCATGATTGAGTGTTACAGCTTCTGGTCCCATTATCCCCTCAGCTGGCTGGGCCCGAGGAAGCAAGGTTCCAAGCCCGCAGTGAAACAAAGAGAAGTAAAATCTCGGGTGACTTGCAGCCACTTGAGGTTGCTGCATCCTCTCGCCTGCTTCATTACAATTGGACAGAAAAAATGAACAATTGCAGGCTTCCTTGTGACTGTCATGAAAGATCAGCTCGCTTAAGATACCAGACGGTCAAACTGGTTCGTATGTCCGAGAGGTACGTAGCATGCTGCTTTCAAACCTTGGCTAGTAGAAGCGTCGTGTAATGGGTTAGGCTTAGCATCAAGGTATGCTGAGACATCAGAATGCAAGTCATTGTGCAATACTCGGCGCAAGGCGGGTCAAGAAAGGATATAGGCCTCTTTGTATAGTCAGCATCATGAGCCGTCTTCCACTTTTCGCTTCACATCCAAGCATGCCATTAGGCATGCCATTATATCATCAAAGCCATATACCCTGAACTTCGCCAGTTGTCCTTAAGACGTCGGATTGCAAATGTCACAAATATGGACACAGACTGCTTTTGATGGCCGTAGAATATGAACGGTTTGAATCGACTGCTCGGCTAAGTCGATCAATTGAACTTCGACTTCGTAGAGTATATGCACGGGGAAACAGTCGAAACCAGCCGAAGAGTCCAGTGCGCACAGTGCTCAAGAAAATGCTTCTGACTTTATTAAGTGTGTGTGAGCATTGTACGTTTGCTGGCAAGTGCAATCGTGGGCACTTTACGCAGTACGCGACTCGTTTCGCTCGACAGAACAGACTAGTTTTAGAAAGGTGCCTGCGACAGTTGCTCGAAGTCAGCCACGGTGTTGGTATAAAGATAGAAAATGCAAGGTCAAGCATCCGAGTCCTACGAGCGACGGACTACCCGATACAAGGTCTTGAAGCATTTGGTGACTTTTGTGGAGAAATGTTTTCGATGCTGCGTTGCAATTAGGCAAACGCTAAGAGGAGCAAGTATGCTTTGAGTCAGTCCCTTCAACGTCCAGACGGACAGTTATATTGTGGTCGTATGCTCCCTTCGCTTACCGCACACGCAGTAAAAGCAATAGCACTGGGTTTTGAGTGAGGCCCAAGCCAATTTGTAGGCACCTGGCCAGTGAGACGGGCGTATATTCAGCCGGACAACCATTTAGACCGTAAGGTCTCATGCATTTTGGCCAGACAAGTGAAAAAATGACAATTGCGATAGAAGACAAAGGGAAGAAGTGGTCAAGCTCTGTTCTTCAGGTTGATAACTGGACCCGCTTGGATTGCGGAGACCCGCTGAGGTGACATCATCCTCGCCCGCAATTACTCGTTTCTATACGGTATAACTGATGTTGCGCTCTCAGCCTTGAGTTAATGGGACTTCGGACATATATGCCACTGACTGTGATTTCTACAGATAGCATGTATGTAAGAGGAATTAACTGCTGCTGAGTGCCGTTGTGGACATGGAAGGTCCAGAGCCTTTCAGATTCGTGATTATGCACACAAATACATGACAAAGCAGCATATCCCGAGTCCCAATCACGTGTACCATTATGGTTTTCCCTGGCGATGAACCGATTACTTGGGCAATCGTTGGCCTGGAGGTGTAACTAACCAACGTACGAAGTAGATCTGAGGGTAACATTTGACTTCGATGTCAACAGCGAGCAGGATGAGTGAACAGAACAAGAGCCAGTCTACGTTTTTCCCGCTCGTCAAGGCAGGAGCTCTGAGCGGTCAGTCCCTTTAAAACCCGGCGAAGCCTCCACGGTTGTACATTTTTTCGCATCAATTCCATGATCCATGCTCTTGCACAGCATGGCGATAACTGCGATGGCCCACTGACATGCCACGATAGGCTCTCTTGGACTGGTGTATGGCGGTGTTGCAGGTGTCATCCGGTCTCCTAATCCGGTGATTCATTCTCTATCTTGCGGTGTTCAATGGGCTGCAACTGGGAGCGGTTTCTGGTGTAAGTGCTCCCTCTTGGCTCCGTGTCGCGTTGATTTTAGCAGAGATCTGAGTCTTCCCCCTGCAGTCTTGAGAGAGAACATCTTAAAATATCATTTCGAAAACAATGCCGATTCTAAGCAACGCGCTTATGTCAGCGCTCTATCAGGGGGCATCGCTGGAGGCACTGTTACCCGACTACTAGGTACGTCGATTGATTATTCTTCGCTTTGGTCACTGCTGGGAAAAACTGCCTGCAATACTAATACCTGGCGTCAGGGGGTCGACTAATTCCAGGAGTGGTGTTCTTTTCGGCACTAGGCTATCTGGGCCAAAGCACTTATAATGCGATCGACACATGGCAATTAGAAAAGGCCAACACTCCATCGAAGCCGATCCTTCAGCGGATCGCCGATTCAAAATGGATTCCGCTCAAGTCCCTCTCCGATGATGATTACAGGGGGATTTTGCGCGAGAAGCTCCTGAGCATCGAGGCTGAGATCGCACTCCTCGATGAACAGATTGAAGGGCTTGAGAAGCTCAAATCTCAAGGGTCAGATTTGTCCTCGTCCGACACATCCACCAGGTGACCAGAAAATCCAGCCCGTCAATTTCTACCACGAACGGCCTTGGTGTAATAGAATGTTACGGGTTAACATTTTCTCCCTGGCCCTTGAAGCGCGTAAGGTCTGGCTTGTTGCAACCCTTGACCTAGCCACGCCGATGCGGAGTACCGCGAAGATCATGCGGCTATTTGGCTATTCTGGCATCGATGATTGTTCTAAAGAAGGCTTGCTCCCCCAAGGCGAGCCCTAGTGAACCTACTGCCCGCAAAAGCGCAGTAGTTATCACCATGTATAATATCACTCTACTATGTTCCTACTTGTATAACCCAAGAATCACGACTATACCACCCAGATTAGAGCTGTTGAACTTGTTGTAGCATGAACTTAGCTCTCTTTCAACGTCTTGTGCAAATACTCAAAAGCCATGAGACTTGAAATAGCGTCAAACGAAATGAGTTTGCCTCCTATCTAGGTTCAGGGACCGCAACTCTGTAGTAGGCGATGCAGCGCTTGACGTGGTGTAAGCTAATGGTTGTACTGTACCTCCATGCAAGCAAAATGCCAGATGACCCGAGTGGCTGTCACAGGGGTCGTAGTCAAAGGGAGTGCATGCGACCCAATTGACATGCAGGTTCAATTGACAGGCACCATTAATTTTACGAATCTCAATAAATCTGTAAGCTGATCTTCAGACGAACCACCCCTAAAAGGCAGGCAAACCCACCCACCTTCAATACTACGTAAGCTGTTCACTTACATAGTACTAGAGTACAGGTACTTTCAGGCCTCGTACGAGGGTGTACAACCGTATGGAGAATGCCGAGCCAGCCGGACGGTCCGGCCACCGGGCAAAAGTGGATGTGGGAGTAGTGGGAGTGGGTGGCTTTCCGCTTCCAGTTCTGCCCGCGTCGGGTTCGACCTTTCCCGCCGCTGACAGCTGGTTGTATTATCCATCCTCGATTATTCTTCGAGCTGCCTCAACTACGGTTGTTGCATCATCAAACATCCAACTCTTCCCCTTCGCCTCATATGCTCGGGAAAGAACATACTCAAACAGAAAAGAAGCATGACTGACTTAAAACTGGCCCGTCCTTGTCGCATCATCTCCCCGGCTGGTCGGCACGTCTCGTATTAACGGAGACCTGTCCTTCGCCGGTTCTGCAGACAGGGAATACATTCCCCCCTCTCTCTCCCTCGAGAACAGGAGGATCGCGGGCTTGATTCAAGGCTGTTCGTCCGTTTGGACTGTTCACCCATCGTGGCTTGCGATAGCCTCCTTTCGCTCATTACTCTTATACAGATACCAAACGACCTACAGCATCTCCATGATTTCTTGGCTGACGACTCCCCGTCCTGTGCAACCGGTCAGTCCCGCTAATCGTGAAATACGATGACGCTCTTCAGTCCGACCACGATTCTCGTGGGCTTCCTTTTCTTATACCTCCTATCCTTCCTTATCTTCGCCATTGTCCGAATTGCAACCGGAGTCTCCATTCAGCGAATAGGATACCTCTCTCTCCGTCGAATTAGCTATGTCCCGAAAGATGGCGTGCAGATCGAACTCCGTGGCCTCGGGCTGTCCTTACATCCACCGTCATTCGCGCAACCTACATGGCTCAGTCTCAAGCTAACAGAGCTCAAAGTGACGCTGGATCCGTCAGCTTTGGGAAAAGCTCGCAAGCCAATGAACAGACCCGATGCCTTGGAGCCGCAGAGTCCTTCGGAGGACGATGATTCGAACAAGGAAAGCACGGAAACGGCTGGGCACACCGCTAAGCAGCGGAGTAAGACGTGGAAGAGCTTGATGCGCATCAAGGAGCAAGTGAAACAGTTACATCGGAAAATTCATTGGTTGAAGTTGGTGGATGTCGTGGCCGTCAATACTACCATCAATATTGTCGAAGCTGGTCAGATACAAGTGGGATCGCTGTCCCTGGGAGTCGATACTAGGCGCAAAATGGTCGATCGAGGCACATTGTATCGGTCTGGGAACACCGATGCTAGCGAACAGAAGCCTGCTGAGTGGATCATGAACGTTCAGAATGTGCTCCTGGCCGTTGATGGAGGCGAATCGACCGAAGTGCTAGACAATATTCGCGTGCATATACATGGTCTTCTCCATAAAGAACTGGATGGCCTCAGAGATGCTTCGATAGCTTTCAAGGTTGGAAGGATGCATATTCCATATGACGACTTTATGACATTCATGCACCGCGTCAAGAAATCCAAGCAGTCGCCGAAAGAGCCTGTGGATAGCAACAACACCGACGACGAGATGTCGTTTGCTGACTTCGTCGAAGAACTTGATCAACCCGGGAGTAGGGATGACTCAATTGTACAGACCGTCGCAGATTCGAAAGAGTTTGCCGGTTCTATACTACGCGGCATACAAGGGATCCAGGTGGCGCTGAGCTTTTTCCGCCTGTCTCGAGCTTTCCAACCGTCGTCCGAAAAGCAAACTCCAATCTTTCTCAATATCGTATCTCACGAAATAGGCATCGACTTACACCGAATGGATCAGCAGAGTCCTGCCCATCGGATGTATTTTCAGCGCAAGGACGTCGCGCATCAGGCTCTTCTTGCCGCCATCTCTCTCTCGGTTAGCTTGGACGACGGCTCAGGTGAAAGCGACAACATACTCTATATCCCGATGGCCACAACGACGATCAAGACCACTCTTCCTTCCAAAACCATCAGCTCTTTTGACGACTACAACCCGGAGGAGCGCAACACTAATATTCTGTTTGCCAATTTGGTTGTTACCTCACCTTCCCTCGATCTTGAGCCAAGGCAGGTTTCTAGACTCCTCGGACTGTCGCAGTCCCGCAGACCATCACCCAGAGGCAAGAAGAGAGACAATAATCGCCTGATATCGCGATTGCTTCCCAAAGCAAGTATCAAAGTATCCATTCACGAGCCGGTGGTTAGATTTGTTCTGCCGATTACCAGCCCAGACCGAACCTCCAACGATGACTACAATCTTCTCATATCATCGATATCAGCAATTTCGCTTGATATCGAGTCTTCGCACTCTTCGGAAGGTGGAGTGCATTACTCATTGTCCTCAATTTATCGGGTGGCTTCGCACAAATTATATTATCAGACACCATCTGGTATTAAACATAACCTCCTCACAACTGAGTCGTTGGAGTTCAAGGTTCTATTGAGTGCTTCTCCAGAGGTACGCGTGATGGCATCAGGTAATCTCAATACTGCCTCCGCACACATGGTCAATGATGAAGTGAATCGCGGAATTTACGAGGTGATTGAACAATTCCGCGCTCATACCAAGCATAAGAGAACGGTATCTATGTCCATCGAAGAGCGGAAGCCTAGTATACTGAGGCGTGTCCCCCCATGGCTCCTTAGGTTCCAGTTTGAGGCCACTGGTCTTAGCTTGGAGATTGCCGGTGTTGATGCCAGTGTCTCTTCGCTATCTCGCGGCGTCTCATTTCAGCTGCAATCATGGACCGCAGACTACAAGGCCCAGAAGTCTGAGCCGATTGCTGTCAGCTTCTCAAGGCGACGTACGCCTAGTCATTCAACGATAGGTGATGAGTCGTCCTTCAAATTTCCTACCTCACCGCCAAGGCAGAAGCTAGGCGTCGCTGCCGATGGTCGTCGACTTGCCATTCATGTCCGTGGCTTCGAAGGATTCGTTATTGAATCGGAAGATTTCCTAGAGGCTGAACCCTTTTTCTCCCTTCCGAGGTTCGAGGTTGCTTTGAGCACTATGAGCGATCGCCTGGGACCGATTTTCAACATCAATTCTGTCTTCAAAGGGGTGTACCTCCAGTATTCGCTCTACCGGTATTACTGTCTTGGGGTTGCTGTTTCTGTGCTTAAGAACGCTTTCATGCGTAGGGCATCTGGAAATCAAGACCAAGAAGCATCCCAAGGTCTGAACGGCTTCTCTTCTCCGTCGTCGCGGGCTTCTTCCAGAGGCGAGCTTGTCACCGTCGATGTGAGGGCAACAGTCATTCAAGTCAAGACTTTCCTCCCTGCGGATCCCCCGATGTTGCTGCAAATCTACGGGCTCACAGGGGGGTCTCACCGTCTCTCTACTCCTTTTGTTCGAGCTCATTTGGTACGATTGCATGCCGAAGCTCCCAAGCTCAAGGGGATCTGGGCTAGAATCATAAGCATGAACAATGTCAGGCTTGACTTGCGCAAGATGAAAATAAAGCAGGGTACGAGCATGGTTGAGCAGAAATCAATCGATGTTTGGGCGGACTTTATCCGACTTGGAGTTCCGCATCATATGGTCATGCATCGCATCTTTGACAACTTCATCAATACGTCTAAGGCACTCAAGCAACTTCATCAACGGTTCAAGGGTCATTCGGCTGAATTTGGAGCAGCAAGAGACCCAGAAGACCCGAAGAAGGTCCCTAGGATCTCCTTGCGCAGCAAAGCATTACTTTTTGAGATGGAAGATGATGCTTTTGAATGGAAGCTTGGGTGCATCTACCGCACTGGTTTACTGGAGCAGCGTCAGCGCCTGGCGAGGGAAGAGGCGTTTGAATTAAAATTGCAGAAGATCAAGGAGACAGATCAGCGACGCACTTCATCCAGGCTTCGTACTAGGTCAAGCCACCGGACTCTTCGCAGTGAACGCCAGAGTGAGGAGAGAAGGAGAAGTAGGAGTGCCGATGCAAAGCTGCGGAAGAGCTTGAATGATGACAAACGTGGACGAGACAGGAAGTTCCGTTATGATACGGAAGGTGCTGCTTGTCTATCGTGCGAATCCAAAGTATCTGCCGAGAACGCGTGGTACCGGCTTCAGGAGCACAATGCCCGATCCTGGAAATCAAAGATTGACTCCGCGCTACGGTTCCAGGGTACGTCGATCAGGGAGGTGAGAAACCTTTTCTCCGGCGCGGACGAACCGCCAGAAGACGTGCAAGAGACAGAAACTGTCCTGTCAATCCCCAATCGACCTGCTATCTTGTCTGCTTTGATAAGTGACATCAATCTTGTGATCGACAAGCCGTCTTTTCCCCTGGAAGACTATCCCAAGTTCCTCAACAGCATTGGTAAGGGCATGCCAATGTCAATGAAGTATGCATTGCTTGTTCCCATGAGTATTCAGCTGGACATGGGAGAAGCTCGGGTCAACCTCAGAGATTATCCGCTGGACCTCTTGCACATCCCGGCACTACGGCCCGGACAATCCCCAAGATTATCAAGCTGGTCCCTGCGGACTAACTTCGTGATTGCGGAGGAGTACCGCGATCATAAATCTGCTAGACAGGTCAAGTTGGAGTTGGTCCCTTCAACAGAACTATCAGATGGGTCGATAAGTCCGCCTTTCGCCATCGAAGTCTGGCGATCTGTTTCTCCTGTGAAAACATACTCGGACCCCACCTTTGAAATCAACACCAGTCTGCCCACAAGCATTTCCTGGGGCATGTCTTATCAGCCCGTCATTCAGGACATGATGAAGATAATTGAAGGTTTCACAAAGACCGAGATCGATCCGTCTGATAGAGTCGGCTTCTGGGACAAGATCAGATTGAGTTTCCACTCGCGAATTAAGGTAGTATGGAAGGAGGACGGAGACGTCCATCTCCGTCTCAAAGGATCGCGCGACCCATACGTTGTTACTGGATTTGGTGGTGGATTCGTAATGTGTTGGCGCAAGGATGTTAAATGGGAGATCCATACCAGCGATGATCCAATGGAGTTCATGAGCGTTACGAGTGGGGAGTACGTGCTGGCAATACCCGACTACAGCCACGAGGCACGATATATGGCCGAGGCTACGGCCCAGGATCTGGAAACGACATCATCTTCCAGCGACCTGAAGAATGCGGCTCACTTCAAGAAAGTCGTTATGAAGCTATCGGGTGACGTGCGTCTGGTTGCTGGCTTAGTATTCGAGCGGAACATCAACGAGAATGAACGGTCATTCCAGTTCAGACCTCACTATGATGTTGTCCTTCAAAATCCCCTCCTCATCGACCCAGCACATAAAGAGGTAAGCTATGTGTCCTGGATTTTGCAAGATTCAAAGCTAAACTGTCAACAGGACTATGACGCCTACCGCGGCTTCCGCAGTAACCACATTCATCTATCGATCTCTGTCATTGCACCGGTCAGCAGGAATTGGTCTGTTGACTCCGTCCAGCCGTCTGCAAGCTACAATACCGTGCATCTGAGTCCCCGCTTCTTCACACATTTCTTCAATTGGTGGTCTCTATTCTCCGGTGTTATGTCATTGCCAGTTCGACAAGGACCGCTGTGGCCTGGTGTCACAAAAACGAGCAAGAAGTTCAACCGTCATTTAGCGACGGTCAAGTACAAGCTACTCTTTGCTCCACTGTTTGTTGCCCATATCTATAAGCACAAGGATCGCGAAGATTACGCGGAAGATGTCGTGACGGCTACCGGCATCAAAGTTCGACTGGACAGTCTCAAGCTTGATGTTCACCAAAGACGGGAACACGTCAAAACTCAGGCCAAGGGTCGCTTGAAGCAAACCAAGGCGAGTGCGATGCGGATCAATCAGGCACAACTGGATCTGCAGGCCGCAGACTTTCGTGCTGTTTCCGCCAGCATTGAAGGCACAAATTTCGATGACATCGAGAAAAATAGGGATGATATCCTGTCCTCCTTCCAACAGCCTGTCGCATCGGTGGACTTGTCTCGGTTTACGATCCCTGATCAGAATCTTGACTGGATAGACATGGACGATTTCGTGGAATTGGACTGGATACTGCCTCAGGAGTCGAACCCTCGGACCCAGATCTTGCCTCTGGCATTCACGCCACGCTTCACGTACTTCCGCCAAACCGACCATGGGCAGACAGTCCCAGATGAGACTGGATATAGCTCATTTGGTGACGAACCGACCCATATTTGTGTGATGTCTGAGAACAATGAGCCTCGTCGAGTGCAAATGGAGTTGATTAGAGATCGCCTGGTCTCCGTCGAGGCTCAGATGCGTGATTGCAACCGGACCATTGGTGAGCAGGAACTTCGCATGGCGAAGGAGGTAGATCATGATCCCGAGTTAAGGAAGCAGCACGCCGACTATCTGAGGCAAGCAGAAACGTTGACACGGAGACGAGCGTTCCTTACAGCTGGTCTGCAACGCATTGAAAGGCTGATAGCCCGGGAGGAGAGGCATCCAGTGGAAAGAAGCCCGGAAGCCTTCGCCAATGACAGCGCTTCTAAGATGGGAACTGACTCAGATTCAACAAGTGACGCTCGGGACGCCGATATGGACGGACTCTACTCGGGCCCTGATGACGAATTGGCAAGCGATTTCGACAATCGGTTCATCATTCACAATGTTCAACTCAAGTGGAACAATTCGTTGAGGAACATCATGCTTCGTTACATCCACCAAGTAAGCCAGAGACGGGGTTTCGTGTACTACATGTCTCGGCGGGCAGTCAAGTTCATCCTCGACATCGTCGACGAGCAGAACAAGAACAAGCAAAAGCACTCGAAACTGTTCCGGACAGCATCGAGACGTCCCTCGGATGCTCGAGGCCTCGTGGATAGCGAAGATGATGACAGTGTCGAAGATCGCATTGAGCAGCTGTTGAATGATGCCAAACGCTTTGTGAGCGCCGAAGAACAAGAGAACCAGGAGCAGAGAAAGCCGAGCACTCCTACATCGGAGGGCTCCAGCGAAAATATTGCGCCAGAATTTACACCTCAAAACAGTTATCATCTGCGGCTCATCGCCCCTCAAATCCAGCTCCAGAGTGAAAAGAACCAGAAATCAGTGTTGCTGGTCGCCGCTAAAGGGATGCAACTGCAGGTCATCTCTATCATGGACAAGGAGCGAGTGTCTGATGATGTTAGCGGTCTGGTTCAACGTCGCTTCTCCCTTTGCATGGACGGAGCCCAGTTCTTCGTGGCAACACAGAAGAATCTAATGAACCACCTCCAGTTCTATGCAGGCAACAAATATGGCAATTCACCAGGCTCAGCGTGGCCACCTTGGTTGACCCTAGAAGCAGTATTCGACTTTGAGTTGAATCCCTTTGGCTTCTCGAGGATTATTCAGAAGACTTCGGCGAGCTTGCGATATGACAAGTACAACAACCTTCGTCTGAAGTACAACGAGGAAGTGGCCAAGGGCCAACCAGGGCAACCTCTCAACATTGAAGAGCAGGAGCCGAGGATGGATCACATCAGTGTTGATTTCCCTCACTTCAGAGCCATCTGTGACTCGGCTGAGTATTATTCGATGTATATCATCGTTCTGGACCTCCTTCTCTATAGTGAACCACTGGAAAAGGTCCGCAATGAACGCTTGGAGAGGATCATGCTCACGTCCGATTTCAGTGACTTGAGGGGTGCTCCAGAGATGGTGTTCAAACTCCAAGCCCGCATTCGACAACTAGAGGAGATCAAAGAGCATTTCCAGATCCATGCCAAGTATTTGGACAAGCAAGGCTGGGAAGATCGCTTGGTCCTTGAGAAAGACCTTACTCAATGCGAGGACGAGCTGTTCTTCCTGATGAAAGCCATCACAAGCTCCCAAAGAAAGATTGACCCGACCATGTCGAAAGCGAATGGAGTCCTTCGCTGGAATATTTCAGCCAGTGAGGTTGTGTGGCATTTGATGAAGGATCAGTCCGAACCATTGGTTGAATTTCAGCTGAGGAATGCTGCTTATGATCGCACAGACAACAGTGACGGTTCGAACCATAATGAAGTTGCGGTCGAGCGACTGTATGGCTTGAATCTGCTCCCAGATGCGATCTATCCCCAGATCATCGTTCCTTACCTTGACCAAGCTCGCAGTCTCGACGGGCCGGATGATTATATGATCAAGGTCAAGTGGCACATGCTCGAGGCAGTTGCTGGCATACCAGTTGTGGACGATTTCGAAGTTTCTCTTTTCCCTCTCAAGGTCCAATTGGAGCAGGTGCTCGGCCAGAAGGTATTTGAGTACATGTTTCCAAATGTTGGGTCAACTGCTTTCGAAAATGGCGGGTTTTCACCCTTCATGATCAAAAACATGAAGCCTATCGATGGCTCATCTGACTCCGAGGAGGAGGAACGCCCAAAGACATCCCCTGGACTTGAACAGAGCGATATGTCAACAGACGATTTGTCCTTGAAGGGGACCGGGGCTATTGAGTTAAGACTCCAGCCCACGCTTTCTCTGGCGGAGGAGGCTAGGCCTCGATCCCAGCATCGCCATCTCAAGGGCCTTGCACTGACTCCTATCCACAAGGATAAAGATCCAAACCTTTTGATGCGCCCGTCGACGAGCGGGGCGTTGAGCAAGAAGAGATCAGTCGACAGCCTACGCATGTTGTCAAGACAGCCCACAGAGAAGTCGCTAGTGAACACTGCCGGAACGAATTCCACTGGCGACGAAAAGTCAAAGAAATTCGCTCTTGGAAGACCCAGCAAAGGCAAGTCCAAGGAGACTCCGGATGACCTGGCTCAGATGATGTCACGTGCATCGAACTATATGACGTTGGCTCATGTCAAGGTGCATGACGTGGTGCTCTGCCTGAGTTACAAAGGCAAGGGTGACCACAATCTGGAGGATCTTCATGACTTTGTCTTCCGATTGCCGGTGCTTGAGTATCAGAATAAGACATGGTCGAACCTGGACCTGGCTCTGCGTCTCAAGAAGGACGTTATCAAGGCTCTTATCTCGCATGCACCTGCGATTCTCGGCAACAAGTTCTCTCATCATCGACCTTCCAAACAGCAACAACAACAACAGAAGCGGTATCGCGAGCTTGTAAGCTCATCCCAGCTTCTACATAATTCAGACAGTGTTGTGCAATCGACGTCTGAGAAAGCCAGTAGCCTGGCCAGTGTCGACTCAAACAGTGAATACTCGGAGTCACAACGCTCCGGACATTCGGGGACTTTGCCGCTTGCGCGGTCAAACTCACTCGGGTCTAGCATGCTCAGCATTAATGAACCGAGTGGAGTGATCTCTGATTCTCGGTCGGCGAGCGAGGTTGATGTGGATGCTCGTTGGGAAGTATGTACTGCCCGAAGTCAATCAGTATTGAGAAACCTTGCTAACTGTTCATGTAGCAATCTCGCCGACTTGTCAATCCTCCCAGCAGACCAATGACGTCGGGTCAAGCTCTGCCTCGGTCTCAGACCACCAAGCTCTGGGATGGACCGGAAGAAAGGTAAGCTTATATGAACTGCACGGAACACATCTTTGAGCGAAACTGATTCTTTCGTAGTAGTTCCAGCCACAAGACCGCATCAATCCGCAACTTTGGCCGCAAACTAATGCCTTCTCGGAAATAATCTCCCTGCTTCATAGCGGAAGGCATACGTTCAAAATCACACCCCTTCCAGGATCCCTTGTTCCATTATCCTGTTCCCCTCGTTGAGATCTCGCTTGTTGCACATTCTTGACCTTGCATTTGCCATGTGATACCCCCAATGCAGTGGGTCGTATAAAGGCGTCGGCACATCGGTATGCTTTTCTTGCCATGGAGTCCGTTCATAATACCAGGAGTTTATCTGGGGATCTTTGTTGTTGCTTCCCGGCCCCTGATTCTGCCATCCATCCTTATCGATTTCCTCTCCCGTACAAAACCTCTATTTAACCCTAATCTCTTTTCTCTTCGAAAATATCTTTTCTGCATGTACCATTCTTGTTCTTCTCCCTTCTTTTTTTTTTTTTTTTTGTTTTTTTTTTTTTTTCTTTTTTTTCAGACCCTAGACGCTAATCGCAAGTGCATATCCTTTGCATGTGCAGGGTTATGTTTACGGCCGTCTACGGAGTTGCATTTGCGGGTGGTGCGCGATATGAGCGCTTTGAATATATGGTGTGTGGTATGGTTCTGTGGGTATATATCAGGATAGACGGTGCAATTAAAAGGTACTCTGGGTCAATACTATTTGTTTCTGCCATGCCAGACAGCTCTTCAATGATAAGCGATGTTCGGAAATCTCCTTGCCCCAAGACGCTTTGGGGCTGTTGGCACCCTGTTCCTCGATCAGGCGTTGTGTAGCCAGTGACTCTATAGCAGCCCCCGCCCCCCAAAACACCCACCAGGCAACGTGTTCATCAAATCTGCATACCCTCCCCCATCCCCCCTTCCCACTTGGTGTATCTAATGCATGTTTAGACTACTCCTCCCTTCCTACCCCAACCATCTCCAAAGCCCCCTCACACAACCCCCGAAGCTGCTTCCACCTCTCCAGCAACATTTCAAGCCTGCCCCGCTCCCACTCTGGAGACCGCACGGCGGCCGGGGAGGACGCAACAGACACAGCAGCAGTACTCCCATCATCCTTCCCCTCTAAACTACCACTACCACTACCACTACCACTTTCACCTCCGTCCCCCACGCAGCTCCGCGAACCATCTCGGGCTACCATCGCTTCCTCAATCCGCCCGATCACCGCCTCGCATTCCCCCCAATACACCTCGATCCACCCCCGAATCACCTCCGTGGACTTTTCAGCAGAGAACCCCCGCCGTGAACGCCCCGTGATCCAGAGTTTCCAGTCGCGGCGGCTCATGGTTTTCAGGGCGGCTGCTGCTTGGATATTCTTGGGGATGGTTGAGGTTGGTGGAGTGGTTGGGGATGTGAGTTCGAAGTTTCTGGGGTGGATGGTTAGCTTTCCTCTCTTTGTTTTGCAGGTATCAAGATGGATGGGGGGGGGGGGGGGGGAGGGGCTGGCCTTACCCGAATAAATCTTGCCCGATGAGGTCTTTCTTTTGCTCGATGGTGAGGTCTTGGAAGATGATGTCGTCGAGGTAGATGCTATCTGAGGGGTTGGTGGGGAGGAAGAAGCCATCTTTTTTTTCTTTGGTTAGATTGTGTTTTTCGGGGGGACTAGGGACTAAGGGCTAGGAAGGGGAACAGCATACATTCGACGAAGAGGAAGTCGTTGGAGTGGGAGCCGTAGCTCATGAAGATTTCTTCGTTTAGGTCTTTTTTTTTGGAATGTTTGTTAGAAGATTGTGTGGTCTTTTGTGCTGGTGGTGAAGAAGGTATTCGTGTTGTTGTGGGGTTGGTTGCATACCGTATTGTCGGGTTGCTTTGAAGAGGTAGTTCTCGCCGGTCCAGATGACTTCGCATGCCTGTTTCGAAAAAGGATGTCAGGTATTTGGTTAGAGTAGGGGTAGGGGTTGGGTTGGGTTTGGCTTGAGTGCGTAAGGGCTGGCTGGCTTACCGCATCGTCGTCGTGGTTGAAGTAGTCCGCAAATGGGACCATGGCAATAGCATCGTTCCAGTCCTCCGGCTCTTCTTTACCCGGCGAGACATAGTAGAAGCTCCGCGAGTTGATGATGAACCAGTAGTAGGCGAACGTGCTCCAGTCAATATCTGGGTATACGGTGCGCACATGTGCCCATGCGGCCTGTAGCCGGTTCTCCTGCTGGCCCAGCAGGTTCTGGTATCTGGTTTCGTAGTCTACGCCTACTGGTTCTTTCTGGAAGGTATTCCAGAGTCCGGAGATTGAGGGGGGTAGAAGGCTTGGTGGTGCTGATGACGAGGAACTCTCGCTGCTGCTGCTGCTGCTGCTGTCGCTTGTGGCTTTCTCGAAGGCGGAATTGGACCGCCGGAGATGCTCCGGCCAGAGCACGGGCATGGTGTCCTCGAACTCGCGAAAGTTGGGCCAGACCTTGCGCCAGGGCTCTAGCTCCTTGAGTAAGGCGGCGTCTCCGTGGCTGAGAAATGCAGCGAGAATGCAGTGGATGGATGAGCCTGAGGGGAATTGCTCCACGAATGATGAGGGGATCGAGTCAATGGTCAGCATTGCTGATACGGGCACGCTGAGCATGACCTCATTCTCCTGCAGCTGAATTAGCATACGCCAGAAACATTGGGCATGGTTTATCGATCTCGAGGGTCTTTAGGGCATGGGGTATAATACATACTTCTATCATCCGCGTCGCTTTCATGCCCAGGCGTCGGCCGGGGAATCGCGCTGGAGTGATGCCGTTAATCGTCACGCCTTGGGACTTGGCCCATTGCATGAACGCAACATGTTCCTCGCCGGGAGACTCGTCCGCTGCCATCGTCAGCTGTCCCCTGGCCATTTATCCCCGCTGTGTATGCTGAATCGAACTCAAACAGGACATTGCGTGGATGCTTGTAGTTCTTCACGGCGCGATTAGGTAAGCGGGGTATGAGGGCGTTCCTGCCTGAGGCCTGCTAGCAGCTCCGCGGACCTGCCTGTGCAGATTCGATATCCGCATCAAATCCAAGGCTTGCTGCGCGCGACCTTTTGTTTCTTGTGGTCAACATTGCGAAACACAATCTCTCCCTCCTCCCCCTTCCTATCTCTACCTTCAAGACATATCCACTATGACCGACCCAGCCACCACACCGCAAACCGCGCCGGACGCAAAGATCGACCCCGCGGCCTCCCTCCGCTACTGGAACAGCGTGCCCGCCAACGCGAAAGTGATGCTGGGCATGCTCGGCCAATACCCCTGGTACACGCGGATCGACCTCCGGGGCTCGAAGACCTTCCTGAACAAAGTCCGCCGCCTGATCCCCGACTGCCCGACGGAGGGCAAACTCGCGCGCGGGGTCGACTGCGGCGCGGGCGTCGGCCGCGTCACTGAGGGCCTGCTCGCCCACGTCTGCACCACCGTCGACGCCGTCGAGCCCGTCGACAAGTTCATCCAGATCATCCGCGATTCCTCCCTCAAGCGCGACGGCGTCGTCGGCGACATCTACACCTTGGGCTTGGAGGATTGGCACCCCGACAAGCGGTACGATCTGATCTGGACGCAGTTCTGCGTGGGTCATTTGACGGATAAACAGCTGGCGGAGTACTTTGTCCGGTGTCGCGAGGCGCTGACGGAGACAGGCGTGCTGGTCGTCAAGGAGAATCAGTCGACAGATCCCCGTGGCGAGGATATGTTCGATGAGGAGGATAGTAGTGTGACGCGCACGGATGACAAGTTCCGGGCCCTGTTCAAAGAGAGTGGGTTGGTGGTGGTGGCGTCGGAGTTGCAGTTGGGGTTTCCGAAGAATTTTCGGCTGTTGCCGGTCAGGTTTTATGCGCTGAGGCCGGTTTGAGTGGTTACCCTTGGGCGGGATTGAGAAGAGATTATGTAGGGTTTGGGTGAAGAGCAAAGCATTGAGATGGTTTCTCGGCTTGAAGGGGAGCGGGGATGGCTACAGCTGACTGGGTAGAGACGGCAATTGTCGACATCGGCCGATCTGGTCCCAGGCATTTGCTTCCGCCAGATGCTAGGGCCATTTGTGAGTCTGCCACGGTGGTGGTCGTCGTGTCGACTACATCTACACCTCGAGCGGCACATGGCATCCCCGTCACGGCACCTCTCGATCATGTCACGATATATGGGAGGCTCGGCCTATGCGTGCATATTTTCTAGGGGGGATTGACGATGGCACGAGTGCAACGAAGAAAGAACTAACCAGAACTGAGAGGATGGGTTGTTTGCTGCTGGCGGCAAAGTATACAATCTTGTACAATTTTGGTATTATGATTCCATTATCTAAAAGCAAATGTCCCAAGCCGAGAATAATAAGTCTAGGTATTCGAACACAAGGTGCAACTATCAACAAGTCGCTTGGAAAAAGAAGAAGGCTTGGGTATCTTTATGTACAGTAACATGTCGGCGCAGCCGTCGTAAATCTCATCATGAACATTTTTCGTAATCTTCACGTTAGTTGTGCAGTTGTTGGTTTGATGTGAACTTCAATAGTCCCTCTTCCAAGCTCATCTCGAGTGTGCTTGGAGTTGTCGATATCGGACGGAAGGACACCATTGTGATTCGTCGAAGCAAATGTGGTCACATCCAGGTAGACCAAGGAGTATCGCAACCCTGAAAGTCTGATTCAGGATTGAGCGGATGGGCTTGATGGCGCAGTTTCCTTTTCGCGGCCCCAAGTGAATAGATTCGGCAAACGGTCATGAACACTTTCGAGTCGCGTCCGGGCGGATGGCGCATTAGGATCGTCGGTATAAGCAATGCCTCCTTCACCGTGGTTCGCGCCCCACGATTGTCTTTCGCGTCGAAGATCACTCTGAACCCATGGGATAGTGATCAGAGTCCAGACTCCAGCCCAGGCGAATGGAAGCGTCCAGCCCAGCTTGAAGAGGCTCATTAGTCATATGGACATACTAATGGGGAGTGGACGGACTTACAGTATAGGCAACCGGCTCCTCCACGGTGAATATGATCGCGGTGATAGCAGCAGCGCATACGATGGATCCTCCGGTCCAGAAACAGTTCATCTGAAACAGCATACGGCGGAAGTATGGGCTGGAGAGGTACCGCGTCCGAAGGGCATATCGATAGATCTGACCGCCACCTCCATCCACGGCAACCACATCTTCAATGAGCACATACAAGGCGGTGGGCATTGTTGAGCCTTTGGGCGTGGAGGAGATTCGGAAGGGTGCTTTCACGCCACATGCGCGCAGGATGTCAAGGGTGAGGTAGACACCACCAAAGTAGAACATAACGGTTGGGAGGACCATTGCAACGAGACGCACTATACATCCAGTAATGTTAGCCAGAGTCAGAGTCAGAGGCACGACGAACGAAGATCAACTTACCGTATGGCTCTGCAGGTACAGTTCCTCTGAGAGAGGTTAGCTGTTATCCAAATATCCTTCCCGAATATGCCACTTACACGATCAATTCAATTGCGAGGATCAACCAAACGATAGTAAAGTTGATGTGGAAGAAGTCTAGCTGCATGATAGTCAGTATGACCCATGGCGTTGGCAAGCAAGTAACATACCCATCCTTTTGGTGCGTTTAAGGGTCGAGCGCGGGAATCTTTGCGAAAGAGGTTGTATAACCGATAGAAGTATTCGAAGACCGAGATACCTCCCAAGGAGGCAGTCACAATACTAAATACTGGACGGCAAAATAAATCAATAAAGGTCGGGAGGGTCGGGAGTGCGCAGGAAGAGTGATCTAACTTACCGAGGTTGTGAGAGAGGTCGGTGAGATACCATAGACACCAGTATAGGATGAGCGGTTGGGCCATTGTATCAATGATGAAGAGAATCCAGAAAAACGCAATCGACTTCTTCCTTGTGCGCAAAGAGTAAGGCAGCTGCGGAGGCTCCGAGGGCGCCGTCCCGGCGGTTGCTTCAGTATCATCCATGATGGGTGGCTAGAAGCGGCACGTATTAGTCGGCTCGATCTGTCAATTAGTTGTTCTGTGATGTGATGGGTGTTAGATTGATCAAGTGGCTTCCGAGACAATGCGAGGCATGGTGGGGTGGAAAAGGAGGACAAAAGGTAGTCAGTGTAGGAGAGTAGGTATCTCTCGAATCGAATGGGATGAAAGTAGAATGACTAGACTATATGGCAAATTTGAAAGGAGGCAGTGTTCAAAGGCGAAAAAGACTCCGGAAACCACGGCTTTAGGAAATTGTTTTTCCCCCTGCCCATTGAATTCGGCGAACCGAATGGCTTTTTTGGCTGGCCGCGATGCCTGACGTAACCCCGTCGCGGTGATGTCATCCGCCCGTTCCGTCACTCTCTTTATTGTTTTTACTTATTCCTTCATTCCTTTCACCAAACATCAACAGCATAAACAACCCAGACATTGCATATCCTTCAGCCGTAGACTTGGCTGATGTTATAAGAGCCACTGTTGTCTCACTCTATTGTGATTCTGTCTAGGAAGGCGATGGGATCCAGGTTCCATCCCACAATGTCATCCCAGAGGTACATCTGCTGGTCTGACCCGCCCACCACCGCTGGAATACGAGATTTGCCTCCCACGCTTACCGCTGGATATAATCCGTTCTACTATAGCTTTCGTCAAAGGATTCAAGATAGGAGTACGGGGGTACTAGGTGTATAATTTATCCTCGGATTGTCCAATGCCCTTCCATACGATGCCCGGAGCTTCGAGCCACAGGATTAGGTATGTCTTCGATCATTACCAGCTCCACTTGGACCCTGGCCCGACCGGATGATCAGCATCCGATCGTCAGAATGCATGAAGTCATGCACAATAAATTCTACCGGGCTGAGTAATTATGCAGTATGCAGCTACATACTATACAAACAGTGATAGCTGCCCTCAATGAGATACAGGCACTGAGTAAATGTGTGTAGCTATACTAGGTAGTGACATGACACTTCCAATTGCGGGGCCTTATGAGCAGAAACATTTGGTGGGGCAAAGGGTCAGTCGCTACGAGTATTGCTTATAGCGTAACACAGTCGACAAACAAACAAATTCACTTTGTCCAAGTCAAGAGGGGAATCAACACTTGAGCAGTTTACTGCGTAGAATTATTGAATGGCCGCTTGATCAAGTTCCTTCCTGATCATAACACTACTTTTCTTCTTCAATCGTCCGTAGATGTAACATCTAAGCTACTCAGTTTATCCCATCCTCCACCCCCCGCGGGTCTTCAACCTGCTACCGAGGCCAACGATCTAAGGTCTTTCTACCTTCTACCCTTTCCAACTCACGAAGGTGTCGGAACGAATTCAAGAAGACCTAAAGCCAGGAGGTTAGTGCAGACCCACGGTTTCTCTAACACATGCCTCACTTTATTCTTTAGCAGAAATGGAGGACGTACGCAGCTAATCTAATCAAGACCTGAGATTCTAGATATCGAAACGCAGCCATGTCAACTTCAGACGACAAAGAATGCAATACACCGTCCCACACTACCCTGATCTCCGATACCGAGTCAGTCGAAGGTCCTTTGACTTCAGACATTGCAACATCATGCCCATGGCCAGGAGGCAAATACATCATACGTGACACGCTGTCTAATCGTGTCGTCGCGCTGAAAAATGGTAAAATTGGGCTTGTACGCTCTCACAAACAAAGATATCGCAAGGCACAACCTGGGTTTCCACTGGAACTGCGTCGAGAAAACATGTGGCTCGGTTTGAGAAATACCGTGTTGGGCGTTTCACAGGATATGACAACGGGATTTTCGACGCGACTAGTTTGTGTCACACAGCTAGCCATTCAGTCTGTCCTCGCCAAGATCCAGATGGCGAATACCTGCTCCTGTTCAGAGACAGAGATTCGCTTAAGACGATGAGAATTCTCGAAAAATAGATCGGGAATTTATCATTGGGTGGGAGGAATGAGATGGGAGTTCATCAGATTAAACCTCCTTGAGTCAACTTGAATTCGCCCGGGCTGACAATTATGCTTCAATATGTTGACATAAAACAACAGGCAGTGGTAATGTTAAATTGCCCTTCTTTTGATGTTAAGAAGACAACTGATATGAAAATCGAAAGTTGTTCGTAGATATGATGACATGAGAGTAGATTTGATGGTTTGTTCTTTTCATTAAGCAGACATTTTCAGCTCGGTTAGGATGAGTTGGGATGACTATCTATCACTTTCCATGTACTACTGACTGACTAGAATCGGCAAAATCATAGCCACCATCAAGCAGAAACCAGCGCAAAAGCAGTATCTGAACCCCTCGAAGCATATGAGACTATCCAGAGGATGCCAAAGCGCGGAGGTTATAATCCGACCCATACCCCGCTATGATTTCACATGAACGTGTGTATCTCCCGTCCAAACTCCCACTCCATCAATGAATCTTTATCCTTTGACTTGTCTACTACCCACACCACGAATTACGGAGTACATTTCCACCAGCACACGAGGAACCAGGAGCAAAGTCCGAGGTTGGAAAGACAAAATCCGCAGCGAAGATCAGCCTCTGACTATTTGTGATCTTTACTACGAGTAAGTAACGCAAGCGCCACATCGAGCTCTATATACTCTGAATACTCCCTACATGCTCATACATAGCTGAATTAACCGAGCTTGGCTGTAATTGCTCGAATACAGGATGTCCACGTCGGACGACCAAGGATGCGATACTCCAACTCATACGACTCCAGCCTCCATATATGCTGACTCGACCGGCCTTCCTTCGTTTGCGAGACTACAAACATACAAGCTGTCAACTTGTCCATGGAAAGGGGGAACATTTATCATCCACGAGCCCAGGTCCAACCTTGTCATCGCATTGAGCGATGGTATCTTGGGCCTCTACCCGCAGAGAGAAGGCAGGAGCCGGGACACGGCTAATCACGACTTCGGGCCGTACTGGAAGTGCATGGAAAATGAGAAGATGTGGCTCGACTTCAAGAATACGGTGTCAGCTGCCTACATAGGACATAACGACCTGCAGTCATGCTGACGCTTCCAAGCCACACAGTTGTCCCACGGCGAAAAGGAATCGTTTGGCGCACGGCAACATCCTGATGGCGGATATCTGCTCCTGGCCAAGTACGGGAGCGGGTTTCTACCTATGAAAGCTGGAGGAATGGCTGTTACAGAGTTGGAAGTGGACAATGATCGGAAGGAAGGAACAAGATGGCAGTTCATCCGAGTTGACTATCCTTGAGTTAACTCGGACAATTATGCCGATGTTCTAAGGCCGAGAGAAGTGAGAATTAAGAGGGAGGATACAAATAGTGCACCACTGAGCTGACTCAAAAATGGAAATCTGTGTGCTTTAGCATATTGTCTTCGAAACTGTACTTTTAAGATGCTCTTACTTCTTTCAATGATTTCAATTACCTTCAGGAATGGCCAATGAACATCCCCATTCTGAGCGATGGAGTCACCACTCACGTGACAGTGACAGACACATCCATCACGTGAGTGGATGCCCCCAGCAATTCGGCCTCAACTTCCACCTTTTCCTCCACGACGCCGGTTCGATTCGCGCTTTGGTCTCTACCATTTTCTTTCTCGTTCAGTAAAATCTCCGTTGTCCAGGCAATGACCTGAGATCGATATCCGCTGCAGGCGATTTTTCCAAATCGAGATTGAGCAGTGCAAAGGCAGTGATTATGGGGGAAAAATGGCCCCAAGTCTTCGGGACCTGATTGATTTTCTGCTTGCAGAGATTGCTCTCTGCGGCGACCAAGGTTGGTTCCCTGTCAATCTCTTCTGCCTCGACGAAATGAAGGTGGTGATGATGCTCCACCATCACCACTACTAAAACTCAACACACTTCCTTCCCCTGCATCGTGCATGCATCCTATTGGATCAAACTCCTTTTTTTTTACCTGTCGTGCCTACCTACACCTGCACGTCTTTTTTTAATCACTTACACCGTGTACTTCCCAATGATAAAATCAACTAATGCCTTCCAGGTGCATCGCCATCGGATATACTAAAGTTCATCGATACTTTCTATGCCAGACTGGCACAGGATGCTCCTGACCGCAGCCACACCGTGGACAGACGCTTCAAGGAGAAGGTCTGGTCCTGGCTGACCAAGAATCCCGAAATCTCGGTGGGTCAGAACAGGGAAGGAAACCATCTTCGCCTGCAAGATGTCGGCGGATTCTCTCGTGATGAGTCTTCCACCGAGGCGCACACTCCCACTTTATCGTCGGAGCCTGTTCGCGTATTCGTCTCAAAGGAGCGAACTTGGCTAGCAGTCACCGGCCATGAGCCCGACGAGACCAAAGTCTTGCCCACCGAGTTCGCTCTTCTCTCAATTATTGCCTCGCGTAAGCACAACGGCATCGTGCAGACAGATTTGGTCAAGGCCAGTGGTCAGGACAAGCGGTCGGTTCCGAAGCGAACAGACGCCCTGCATCAGAAAGGCTACATCGAGAAACGGGCTATTCAAATCAAGGCTGCTCGGACAAGTCTCTGCACCCTTCGTCGGTTTTTGACACCAGAGCATGCACCTCAGTCCGATCAAGACTCTGAGCCGTCTGGGGTGAAGCCCAAGATGATCGACTTCAATGAGTTCAATGGGAAGCTCTTTGACATTCTGAGGGAATACAGGCTTATCTCTCGCAATGATCTCAAAGCAAAGCTCGGATTTATCGATCATTGGCACTGGCGAATCCTATCCCGGGCGCTTCGCAAGTTCGAGCGCATCGGGGTCTTGAAGCGCGTGAAAGCTTTGTCCCAGTATGCGCATACACTGAAAAAATTCCATCCATGTGTCATGCTCATCCGGGAACCTACGGAGAAAGACATGGAATTATTCCATGAGTTCAGTCGAAACATCTTGGCCAATCTGGACCAGGAAGACAACGTCGAACTGGAAGACGAAATGGATCAGGAAGATTCAACCCGAGGATCGCAAGCCCCCCCGAATACCACGTTAGTGAAACGGGAGCAAGAGGTGGAAGACGCCGGTCGCATTCTCCCTTCTTGGAACCCAGACCGCAACATCCATAATCTAATCTTCGAAACGATTGATAATGCGGGGACTGCGGGCCTCACCAACCAGGTAAATCAAACGAAGGAAGCAAGGTACCTGCGAATCCACTAACGCCTTGAACAGGGGATTATTAGGAACTGCTTCGGGTACTACTACCGCAGACCGCTAGAAAACGCAATCAGTCGACTTACAGATTGCTGGCAGCTGTCCCAGCCATTGCACTTGCGCCATCTGGCTATAGTGCGGGACACAGCACTTGAACGAACCATTACACATTACGTTCATTACACCGCATTGAGTTTCCAGGCACTAGTCAACGCAGGAGATGCGCTCTGGGAGGCGGTCGAATTCCGTCCGAAGGATGCCAAGGACGAAAAGATCCGACCGCCCCCTGTAAATGCCATGCCTCAGCTGGATCAATATGCATTACCCTTGGACCGTCCGGGAAAGGAGGTGCTAAAGGGCGGTGATGCCTCCCTCCTGGAATGTATCCTCGTGGCTAAGCCGCCAAACTATAATTGCTCGAGCCGTGACCCTGTGGCAGTGCGGCAACTGGATGGGAGCTATACAATTGAGCAGCGACTCAAGGGCGCCGCTGGCGTTGGGGCCAGCCCGCTACGCCCCAGATCTACGCCAGTCACAGTCAAGAAAGAATACGCCGATGTCTCTGGCGATGAGATAGTTGAGCTGAAGCCTGCTAGACCACGTCTCAAGAAGCATGATCCAGAGCGATACAAAGGCATGTCTGAGAAGGAAAGGCTGGAAGCGATGGGATACGATGAGACATGGACAGATTACAACGTCTTGCTTATAGAACGACTAACACCTGGCGTGTACGTCACTCCACGTGGTCGACGAAGGGCGGCCGGCAATCGACAGGGACGTCCTCGTGCTAGCAGGATTGCCGTATTTAAGTCTCCGAGACTGTCATCTTTCTCATGGTTTCAGAAAGATCGTCTTGACCTGGACGGTAAGACGACGATTCTATCCCAAGTGACGCCCCAATCACCGCGTCCGGTTGAAACGCCTGCGCTCACAATGGCTGATTCGGGCACGGAACTCGGCTCTCTAACACCTTCCACAGCTGGTCAGGCGCGAGGAAGTAAGAGAAGCCGACAGCAGCGTGATTCGGATGCGACACCCGAATTAAGAATTGACAGCGCACGGAAGCAACGGCGAGTCGACGTTGGAACCTCCCAAACTGGTGCATTATCCGCCGATGCAAATAGTAGCAGCCTTTCGGTTCAAACCGAAGGAGAAAAGAGTCCTGACAATCGAATGAGCCCGGTAACAGTAGATCAGCGCACGAAACGAAAGCGAGCCGTGTCTCCGAAAGCTGGAGATCAAACGATGGCTGATCTTGCTGACACTGCGAAGAGTCATGGTATCGTTGCGACACGACGTTCCCCGCGCAAGAAAAATTCTGGGACAATTGCAAGTGAAGTCAGTCCGTTGCCAAAGAAACCCCGTGCAAATAATACCCTGCGGAAATGGCTCGCAACTTCGCAAACACCAAAACGTCCAACTGAGAATCACACAGGTGCTGAGCAGGCAGCGGACCCTCATACGATCTCTCAGGGTAGTGAGACGACGAAGAGCGATGAGATGGTTATTTCTACCGACTCCAACACGGCAAGCACCACAAACGCGGACGTACAGCTGGCTACCGATCAAGCCGAAGTCCCGTCACCGTCGGTATCTCAAATTGCACCGGGGTTGGAGCAGGTGGAAGCTCCAACACAGCAATCGAAGAACAGTGATCGAAAACTCAGAGCAGGGAAAGGAGGATCTGTCGCCGTGCTTCGCCGGCAAATCGTTATGGATATCATCGATCAGGCTGGAGGAGCTTACCCAATGGGGACAGAACTTTGGTACCCATTTATGACTGCATGGCAAAGGACTCGCTACAAGGAGGTTCCCGATCTCCGCACGGTCAGAACAGTGGTGAAAGGACTGGTTGATGCTGGCAGGCTGAGCCAGCTAACGTTCAGTGGACGTGACAACAAAGGTGTCATGGTGACAAAGAACATTGTCTATAAAGTGGAGATGCAGGCTGATGATCCTCTGATCGAAGATCTGCAAAAGAAGATGCTGGCGGCAGATCGTTATTACTTTCCTCCAAGCGTCGATGTCGATCCGGAGATCAAGAAGAACGGCAGCAAACGTAAGAAGATGGAAGGAAAGGAAGGCCGGCACACAAGTCACTTTCCCTTACTGCCTGACGAGCTTACAGTGCAACTGCATAAAAAGCCTGCGTCTGTCGTTGCAATAGAGAAAAGGCGAGATATGGCCATGCGGAGGGAACTGCTCGAACAACTGGCTATGGAGGAAGACTTCGATCCATTCAGCGGCTCGGAGATAGTTCGTCTTATGACATTCCGACGCCGAACAGGGAAGAACGGGGCTCAGGGATTGACCTCCATCACCAGGCCATATCCGCTGAGGATGACGAAGGAGGAGCGACAGCTGCACAGACGTCATGCATTAGCTGGGTTGGCTTCGATCCGCAAAATGCGGCGCCTTTGGTCATCGCTTGCTCCGTACTCCATGCTTATGAACACCAGATCAACCTTCATACCCACAACCGGGACCTTCTCAACCGAAGCTGGTATTCCGGCACTTCAGGCTGCGAAAGACCGTGCCAAAGCAGCAGCAAGAAAGCATGTACTCATCCCTGCAACTGAACTACCGCACTCCTTGGAAGACATTCTTAAGTCTCAGAGGCACAATTTCGATTACTCTGCAAGTGATGACCCGCGCGCACGCCAGTTCTTTCATGAGACCAACACCATTTCTCGGTGGGAGATTGAGAATGAGGATTTGCTTGCGCGCAAGAGCTCCGAAATCACGTTCATTAATCAGACTGTACCGAACCTAGAAAGCTCCGGCATTGAAAGTGGCATCCGGTTTGATTTTGATGAGAGCTTTGGGGATATCATCACACCGCGATTGTCTGTTATTACTCGTCAGCGACGCCGACGGTCGGAAGCCGCTTCAATGGCACCCCAGAACCGCCGAATAGCCAAGTGGGATGAGTCCATGGCTGGCGATGAGAATAAAGCACTCATGTCAAGTCAGCAGCTCAACAACCGCAACACATTTCCTAAGAGGAACCGGGCTCCATTGGCTCCCGAGATGGTTCGAAGAATCATGGTGGCATTTGCCGTTGTTCGAAGTCTGGCGGGAGGGTCAGATGCACGTCAGATCGACTGGACTCTTTTGTTCCATTGCTTTCCTGACATGGAACAGGATATTGTGGCTGAAAGAAGCCGTCTCGTTCTCAACAAATGCCGTTTGCAAATCGTCAAGATGCAGAGTGACTTTCACGAGAGGTTTCTTGATGCCTATGCCAAAGATGAAGTGCCACGCATTGACTACGATGATCTATACAGTTACGACTGGGAGGGAGTAGTCGATTGGGCGATGCATCATCTGGAACTACCCAAGTCTGAGAAGCTACCTGATCTACCAGGGACGAGAGAGCAGCTTGATAGCATGTTCGACGTGCGAGAAGAGCCAACAAATCCTCTAGACGAATTCTACCATGTTAGTCAGTCGATCACTGTTAGCCGCAAGCGCGCCTTGGCTGCCGCTGTTCCGTTTGCCATGCCCTTGAGCAACAAGATGGCTCGGGCTCGGCCCCGGAAGGCCGAACTGGCCCGTCTGGATGTAGCGAAGACGTGGGTTAGAGCAAATGTCGTAACTCCAGATGAGACCTACCGCCCCATGGAGGCACGGCAAAGTCTAGAACGATTTGGGGAGCCCTTGGTCCACCAGGCGCTGCAGTCGCTGGTTACAGAACGCGCTCTAAATATGGGCAATCGGGGTCGCATCACTCCAGGACGCAACTACGATGTCACGGAGTATTTCTTACTCGCTATCAGCAAGAAGCGGGCCATTGAGAGTGTCCAACTGCGCCGCGCCCAGAAATTCAAGACGGAGGTCTTGGATCCCGCTTTCCAGGACCAGGGACACGCTGAGATCGACTGGAACGCGGACGATGGCGACATGCTCGTGGCTATCAACCTACTCTGGGCTGGTCGCGTGCTCCTCAAACCGCGTGACCCCCCTCGCGACAAGTACGGTCTAACGGATGGTGGGTATCTGACTCGACAAATGGACAAGAAGAAGCTTCGGTTTACGGTTGAGATCTGGCCGACGGATGCCTATGTGTATGGCAACCCCGTGCAGGAAAAGGCCAGTACACTAAAACCACCGCGTTTGCCTGAGGAGATTGATCCCGCGACGTCACTCCCCGCGAAGGTTCCACTGTGGTATGATATCCATGGAGACTTCGTGCGAGTTCTCTGGGATCTGGCGGTGGCATCAGTGGTGAGCTGTGTGGCGCAGAGGCCTGGCATCAGCGCTTCTAGCATTGCAGGGATGTTGAAGCCGACGATGGGAGGATGGGAGGTGCAGCTCTTATTGGAGTGGATGAAGAAGGTTGGGGCTATGAAGTTGGATTGGACGAGAACGGACAAAGCACATGATGAGGATGAGCCAGGCTGGCGGACGGACGAATGGTGGTATATGGTGTTGGCTTGATATAGGGGAGAGATCTTGATCTAAAGAGCTGTACCTATAGGGCGTTTTGGATGAGAAAACTTGTTGCTTTCTCGTGTGTTATCCTTGCCATAGTCTCTTGTGTCTTGTTCCATGTATCACTATTCCGAGCATTTTTGTTGAAACAGCAAGCAGCCTGTCACAATGACCATCCCTGGATCTCTCTTCGCAAGAGCATCGCAGCAGTAACAGCAGCATCACAACAAACAGTAGTCGGCAGCAGATTAGCCACACACCTGCTCACTCATTCACTTGACATCGAAAAGCCACCCAACAAACGCGACCACGCCTCACCTCAGAAGTGTCATGATCCCCCTCTTTCTTGTTATTGGACTCTTGACCCTCGTCATCATCCTCACTCTTTCACTCTACCACCTCCTTCCTTTCACTTTCCCTTCATCAACCCAGACAACCCCATCCCAATCACCACCACACTCCTCACAACACCATCACCATCACCACCACACTCAAACCCAACAACCCGAACAACCACCACCCTCTTCTCAGACCCACCACCAGAACGAGAGAAAGAACCCCCTAAAATGACCCGCAAGAAGAAATCCAAAGCCCGCAAGATAATCACCAGGCGAGGAGATCTTCCCAAGAAACCATCACCCCCGCAACCGCTACCGCTACCACCACGACTACCAGGCCCGATCCCCTCCATCGAAACACCCACCGGTCTAGCTCGGGCTCCAGCTCCAGCTCCCGCTCCAGCTCGACCAAACGCGACCAGCCCACCCCCGAAATCCCACTTCGCATTCTCCTGGTGGCGTAACCCAATGGGAAGCGAGATGTTGCGCGGTCAGCTTGCTCACGGCAGTAGTGGTCAGCTTAGCCAAAGCAATAGGGGTCCGATTCCTCAAGGCCATAGTGGTCCACCTGCCCAAGGCTATAGCAAGCGGGCTGGTATAGGTACAACTGGCAACGGCAACTACGGCACCGGCTGCATCATCAAGCGCGAGGACGGCGGGTATCATGAATATGAATACTTCACTCCAGCCCCAGCGTATCACATGGGGTATGTTGGTAATATGGGGATGACGCCGAACTATAATGGCGCGGGATATGCGGGCGGGTTTGGGACTGGTACCACGGGCGATAGTGTTGGTCATTATCAGCATCAGCTGGGGGGTCTGGGGGTTGGTGTGAAGGAGGAAATTTATGGTATGTGGTTTGGGGATGATGTGGGTTACTGGGGGGAGGATGTCAAATCGTTCAGGGAGTATGGCAAGCCGTTTGGTGCAGGTAATGGGGGTGAGCATGGCAAACCGTTCAGTGCAGACTACGGGCACGGGCACGAAAAGGGCAAGGCATATGACACCAATACCAACACCACCGTGGCAGGGTACGGAGCAGAAGCAGGATACCAACCAGCTTCCGCGATGTCTTACATCTCAGGGCATGGTCCTGCTGCCTCCTCCGCCACTCGTAACGCTGTGTATACTGAACTCATGAACAGAGACGGCGATGGTCTCCATTACGGCGACGACAATGACATCCAACCTATGGACCCTCGCCACCTCGACGAGACTGACAGTGTGAAGAGCACCACCCCCGATCTGACTCGCAATTGTGTATTCTGCGGCAGGAATGGGCATTCGACTGGGGCGTGTCCGGAGAGGTGGGGGAATACTGATAATGGTCGAAATGATTCGAAAACTGCGAGTTTACCTTCTCTGCATTTGCGTTAGGCTACCACACGTCGAAAACATGCTAATACGGTTGACGGCAGGCACGTCGACCAGGTACTGAAAGAACCAGAACCAAGAGAAACAGGATGCGAACTATCCAGCGCAAACTACGACAGCACCCGGGGAGGGAGACACAGAAGGAGGTGGAGGAGGAGCGGGAGAAGCTGGATGCTCTCCTTCGCGAGGCTCAGGATCTGGAGGAACGTACTTCGCAACTGCTGACTCGAGACGAGCCGCCGGTGGATTTGGATGATATTCTACGCCAGATTATTGAGGATATGAGGTGATATCTGGTTGTTCTTGCGCGCGCCCTGGAGTCGTCAGCTCGATTGGTATGTGCAAAATCTGATATGGTTTGGTTTATTAGTGAACTGAAAGTGCAAGTGTAAGTTGCCGACATCCTAGTAGAAAGACACAGGTACAATACAGATTAACGCCTGAGCCTAATAATGTCCCATAAACGCCAAGATATAAGAGATTATTCGTCTCTGGCGATGCGCCGGAGGATCATGACCACCAGGGCGACGATCACGCCGACGATGGCCCGGTCGAGCCAAGGGGTATCGGGGGATATTTGCTGCTGCTGTTGGTGTTGGTGTTGAGGTTGAGGTTGAGGTTGGAGCAGTATCTGCCGCTGCTGAGGTGTTTGGTCTGGCTGTTGCTGCACAGCTGGTAATTGTGTTGTTGATGTTGGTGGTGATGCAGCAGCAGCAGCAGCAGTTGTTGTCGAGGCAGTCGTAAACGTCTGTGCATCATCTCCTCCAGAAACCACTGTATCAGACTCCAATGACCCTATCGTCGGAGGTTCAAGTTCCTGATCTCTCTTCTCCACCTCCTGCTCCCCCCTCTCCTTCTCCAGATCCGCATCATCGCCTTCACCCTCCTTTCCCTCCCCTTCCCCCTCCCCCTCAACCGTCTTCCCACCATCAAACCCGGAAACATCCACCCCCCTCTCCCGACAAAACCCCCACCACCCCTCCAATACCTCCAAATTCGTCCTCCCCGGATGCTCCCCAGCCCCCTGCTCTCCCTCCTCATCCCCCTCTTCATCCCCCCCGAAGACCTGCCCCTTGCACCCCTCACACCTCCACCCCCGCGACGCAACAGCATACCTCCTCCGCACCTCCTCCCCCACATCCAACCCGCCCACCTGGCCCCTGGCATCCCCATCCATAAAGCTCCGGAGGGCAATCAACGCCGTCCGGATCCCCCACGCCGGCTGCCACGTCTCCTCATGGTGGCCCGAGATACTGAGACAAATTTCGCGGTTGACCTCGAAGCGGCCGGAGGGGGTCAGGAACCGGAAGGACGGGGGCCGGAGCGGGTACGTCGGGGGCAGCACGATCCGGCCGTGGTAGATCCCCTCGCTGTAGGGGGAGGGGGCCGGCGGACCTTGCAGCGTGAAGTGCCAGTCGTATAGGTTGGAGGCGCTGATGGGCGCGGCGTGGAAGGTTGGGTCGGGGTTTTTGAGAAGGTCGGCTTGTTCGCGCGTGAGGCGGCGGAGAGAGGGGGTCATTTCTTGCCGGGGGGAGGGGAGGGGGTCTTCTTGGGTGTGGTTAGGGGGTTGTTGCGTCGTGGTGGTGGTGGTGGTGGTTGGTGGTGCGGGGGATGTGCGGTTGTGGATGTGGTGCGGTTGTGAGGCGCTTTGGATGCGGTTGTAGACGTGACTGTAGATTTGGCGGAGAGATAGAGAGGTAAGTCAAGAGCTGAGTATAGTGTTCTTGTTTCGTGCTTGGTGGTTTCAGGGTAGAGATGTGGGTTGCGTTGCTGGACGCATTGGATGATATGAACAGTACTGTACTGTAGGTTCTGCGTGACAAGGCCGGCTTGAGTGATTGGTTTTCTTGGACTTTGCTCGTCTTTGTTGATTGCAGTAACCAGTAAAGCTGGATGTGAAGGAATAGATTTGACTCCAGTGGAAGTAGGTTTGTAGCAGGGAATTGCAGAAGAGTGGTATGTTCTAAGTCCAAGTGGTGAGGGGAATGAGGAGAGGCCAACTGGCCTGAGGTGTCGTCCGGAATGTGGGCCAGGAACAATTGCGTAATCAGAATGCATTCCTCACCACATCTATGCAGTATAAAGAACTGAGCTACGGAGGTGTTGGTGCGAAGCGTGATCAAACTGAAAGTACGAGTTAATCTTGATCAACTGCGGAACCTTTCTTGGAAATTCCAACGCTTATGTTTTCACAAGTGTTCTGTCTCAGACCAGCCGCTACCAATACAACCACCCTGAACGTGAGCTTGTCATATCTCATACTTATATATAGTCTTCCTAAGTGTACACCCGGTATATCAATCCCAGTTCCTCCATTCATCCTCTCCGCGCGGCGCTGCCTCCTCATCACTATCGTCCCCGTGTCGAAGACGCGGTGACACCGGTCGCAACGTCTTCATCGACACACCGGTACTAGGTCTCTCAGGATCTCGAACCACATCCAACGGCTGCTGCGGCGTCCAGGTGGCAGCCGGATTGGTAGCAGAAGTTGCAGCGTCCGCCCCCATCCAGCTTTGACTGTTGTTCATATTCCGTGTATACAAGTCCCGGTAATACTGCTGCTGGTCGACCGCCTCCTGTTCCCGTCGCGCCCGCACACCGTCGCGCGCCTCGAGGAATTTGGCGCTGGGCTCCCAGTGCCAGCCGTCGCCGGTGGTGGTACACACGGGGACTGGCCACAACAGCGGGCGGCTTCCAAACAGATGCAACAGATTGCGCTTCCAGCCCAGATCGAAAGCATGGGGCATTTTCTCGCTGTCCTGCTCTTCCAGGTAGCTCTGGTACCGATCATGCTCGCGCTGTCGTTCCAGCTCCGCATATGATCGCGTCAACGCCTGCTGCGCGGGGGACAGATCCTCCCTCCCTGAGAAGTGCTGCGTGGCGCCGCCCTGCTGCGAAGGTCTGATCTCGTCCTCCCCTTCCTCCGCCCTGGTTACCCCAGGGATCGCGTTGGCATGCGCATCCAGAATCTGTCCGCCATACTCCTGCAACCGGTGACCCAAACCAGTGACTCCAGCTCCATCCGGATCATGGCCTGCAAGCCCCTCGTAGCGATGGCGATCCAGCGCCTTGCGCAACGGCGAGACATACCTCGTCTTCTCCAAACACTCAATCGTGGTGACGCCCCGGACCGCCAGGCTGATATGCCACGCCGTGAACCCCGACAACACCAACCCTATGATTCCGCCTAGCACGGCCAACAACACCACATTGATAGGCAGCATCTTGTCAAAGTCCATGTACTTGCTATCGTCCAGCATCTCGTTCCAGATCCACGTCGACGCCACCAGAAAGTCGACCCAGCAGAAAACCGAGGTGTATATCAGGAACAGTAGGAACGCCTTGTAGTTGTAGAGCCCCACGCACGTCGCCAGCCAGGGACAGTGGTGGTCCATCTTCAGCACGCACCGCTTGCAGGTCGAGCAGTGGTGCGCCCGGTCGGGCTTGGGGCATTGGCACTTCTTGCAGAAGCGGGAGCCACCGGTTGAGTTGACCGTGTAGGCCGTGTACTGCGGGAGTTCGGTGACGGGAAGGGCGCTGTATTCGTGCTGGTTGCGGCTGTTCGAAGGCTTGAGGGGGGTGCCCGGGTCAGTGAAGACGGCGACCGTGTAGCAGGTATTGAGGCAGATATAGAGGAAAATCCCAAGAAAGGAACTCGGGAGGCCTGTCATATGATGAAGGGTCATTAGAAATGTAACGTAGGAATTTCTGTGGAGAAAGAGCCTCACCGATCCAGCTGCTCTGCAGCGACTTGAAGCCGACACTGGCCTCCACCCAGACGGCCCACGTCGTCAGTCCGTAAACAAAAGCGAGAGGGAAGAACGACGCGGCGGTGCAGCAGTAGCGTTCAATGCGCAGCGCCCATGCCCGCGGCCGTCGCTTCGGCCACGACGGCGATAACGGCGGTGATGCTGCTAAGGTTGCCATGGTTCACAAAGTGGCCGGGGTCGAGCTGCCGATCGGTTCGTTCAGGGCGATCAAATCATGGCAGCCAGTCCCGGATAGAAGAGGAAAAAAGTACTCGAGTAAGATACGATGATGTTGAGATAATAAGAGAAGCAGCGCAAGTGTGTATATCTCAGCAGAAAAGGCATCGAACAAGAAGTGCAGTGAGACAGGGAAGACGTAGAGGAGGCCGTCGGCTGACGGATCCTCTGCGGTGATTACGACGCTGCGGATGCTTACAGTACCGTACCGAGCGAGTCCCGATCTGTCACCGCCACATCCGGTAGATCACATGCCCCCTAGTAATTTGACTATATTGTGGCGCAGTCACTCATACGTCTTGTTGGCGTCTCATATAAATATAGGTCAATTATGTTCGTAATGCATTCACTAGTCTACCGGAGATACTATATGAACATGAATCACTGCGGCACTGATTCACAAGGTCAGGCCTGCCTCTTCTCCACTAACGCCGTTGAAGAATGTACTGGAATTGGAAAATGCCAACCAAATCGCATAGAGGGATATTCAGATGTAAATTTCATATTCCCAAAGAGCCAAAATGCTATATATCGAACATGCTTAAGTAGAGTTCTCTTCAGTCGTGATGTTACCTTGCTCGCACCAGTCCTTGATCGGCTAGCTGGGTATTAGTATGAAATGCACAAGACACATCCAGGGGAAAAGACTCACCAGACAACTGAGTCGGTAGCACCAGGAGCAGTTTGATTTCGGGTATTTGTAGAAATCAATGATCAGTAGGATGAACCCGACCAGCACGGCAACCAAGGCTCCCACACGCACCAACCACCATGCCCACCACAGAGGCTTTCGGCCGCGGAAGAAGTTCATGGGGTTCGATTTTCCGTCGGAGGACTTCAGGCTGCGCTTGCCCTTGAGGAAGTCGACGATGCTGGGGGCGGGAACCACCTTCTGACCTTCCTCCGGAGTGGTCGTGCCCACGCCACCGCTCATGGCCACATATGGGTTCCGTGCGAGCCCAATTCGTTCTCGCAACGCGTTAGGCGATCTCAAGAGACACAGTCCCAGAGCCAGACCCATGGTGAAGCCGCCAATATGTGAGAAGTTGTCCAGTCCTGGCAGAAGTCCCAGAACAAAAGACACGCCGATCCCCAGAACCATAATGATCAGCTCGACCCACGGCGACTGTCGATCTTGCCAGCTGTACAGTAGATCCAGTAGATCGAGTGCGAGAATGCCAAAAAGTGCTCCGGAACAGCCGCATGATGCCTGACCCTGAGCGGCATAATTGCCTCCGAGCACGAATCCCCAGATTCCACTAGCCAGATACACCAGAGCATATCGCCACCACCCAATCATTTTCTCCATGGCCACACCGATGGTCATTTGCGCAAGTAAATTGAAGCCGATGTGGATGAACCCGCTGTGAATGAACATTGGAATGATGAATCGGAACCATTGGTTTGGCTCAGGCTGATCGTCCAGCGATCCATTGGGCGTCGGATTCGGCACACCGTTGAAACCACACAGTTCAGACAAAGTACAGTGAGACTCGGTCGTCGTCGCGTTGGGACAGGGAAAGAGAATCGTTTCGTTGGCATTCTGAATACCCGGTGTATTCTTCATACACGGAGTGTATCGAGATCCCATATAGATCTGGAGGTAGGGAGAAGGACCGATCATGACATTGAACGACGGTTTAGTTTCGATCGGGCTTCCCGTAAGTTGAGCTGAGCCGGTCAGCATAATTCCCTTGACCCTGAGCCTATAAACCTACCGTTCTTGACCAGCTCCACGATGAAGACAATGATCTGAATCAAAGTGAGAGTATAAGTGACCCAAGCGATCTTCCTTCCAAAGAAACCCTTCTTCTGTGTTCGTCGAGCGCCAGGGCGCATGGCAGGCTCGATCTCGTCTGGCGACGGCGGATAATGCGTTTGTTGTTGCATCCAGTTTGCAGGCGGCGGAGGGCCATTTGGATACTGGTTGTTGGCCTTCAAGGGAATATTCTCGGCATACTGTTCGCCCTCATTCAATCTGGCGCCAGCGGCATAGGCTCCCTGGTCGGAACCCAGTGATTGTTGACTGTAGTGAAGCCGAGGATCAGAAGTGGTGGGCTGATAAGGATGTGTATCGAACCCCGGATGACCAGTTGCCGGGTATTGAGCTGATTGTGGATTGACTTGTTCGTAGGTTGGCGGATTGCTGCTGTAGCCACTCTGATAGTAGCTGTTGGCCGCCATGTCGAATGGACAGCCTGACTGGTAACGGGCGCAAGGGGCGGGGGGTCGAAGTGGTTGAGTGTTGTCTGACTGTTGTGACCGGAGGGCTGGTTTCGGGGGAACAAAATCGGTTGCTGTGCCTCAAACAAATCCAATATGCAAGAGATAAAAGTCGGTTAAATCGATGCAGGATATTGACTGGGGTAAAGGAAGGCAAAACATTCAGCAGCTGGCAGGCAGGCGGGCGGGCAGAAATCACGGGCACGTTTGGCTATTAAACAACTGAACAGGGCTGAAACACTGATCAACAATGAGTTGTGACTTACAACGTAAGTTTTGGTTGGTTGTGACTTAAAGAGAAAAGGCA